TGGAGAATGGATTAGAAAGTAAGGTGTATTCGTAGAGAACAATTATGACTTATTCAGGCACCACCTACTAAATGCCAGGAACTGTTGCTAGGTGCCGGAGATACGTAAGTGAACAAGACCAAAAAGTCTTTTCAGTTCTTGCCGAACTGAAAGTATCTTAAAGTTTTCAGACGTAAATTAAAAATATAAGCACTATGAATAAAGATATTGGTATTTTTAGAAGTACGATGTAAACCATAAATATCAATATTTTAATAAAGACAATAGAGTCATGAAAATAAAACATTTGATCTTGATTTTGTCACTAACTAGTTATCTGACCTTGGTAAAGGAATATAGTCTCTATGGTACTGGCCTTGGTAAAATTCAGCTGTAAGATAAAGAATGAGACTAACGAGCTGAGATTTTTTTTTCCCACTTCTAAAATTTTATTAATCAAATTACATAATTTGAAATAATGGCCTCATCATATTTGGAAACCTCTTGCTCCATCAAGCAAAGCTAATTCTCTTTGTCTAAGTGAAACTTTAAGTGTGAAATTCGTATAGTCTTGGAAATCTGTTAAGTGATTTATAGCCTAATGATTCATATGAATAAAGCTACGATTCATATCCTAATTACTGGTTATTGAGGTATGTAAAATAGCTTCTTCTGGCTCCCAGTGATTGTAATTTCTTTTTAAAAAAATATTTTATTTATTTATTCATGAGAGAGAGAGAGGGGGGCAGCGACACAGGCAGAGGGAGAAGCAGGCTCCACACAGGGAGCCTGACGTGGCACCTGATCCCAGGTCCCTAGGACCACACCCTGGGCTGAAGACAGGCGCTAAACCGCCGAGTCACCCAGGGTGCCCTGACTGTAATTTCTAGAGCATGTTTTATGGGCAGAGATGACAGGTTAAAAGATGCTGCATTTTAACAAACTTGGAAACAGGACTTTTCCATTGGAAAATGTTATTAATTCCAAGAAGGACAGATTTCCATTAAAATTTTTGAAATAAATGTCTTAAGTGATAGGTTCTTAGAGGGGTCGATTCTTTGTATACTGTGTGGCATCAAAGGTATGTACTTCAAAAATGCTTTGAGGTGGTAAGGATGCTGCCAGAAGGAGAAAAACAATTTCATAAAATCTGTGGCATCACAATGTTAATATTTAATTGTAGTAAAACATTCAATCCTATGATGAAACATTTAAATTTACTATAAAATAGTATTATTGGGTGATAACATTTCATATTTTAAAACTTGATCAAACCACATGAAAGCGTTTTAATTTTTTATGATTTTATTTATTTGAGAGAGAAAGAGCACATGCTTGAGCATGAGGGGTTAGGGAAGGAGAGGAGGAGAGGGAGGGGAGAAGCAGACTCTTTGTGAGCAGGGAGCCTGAGGATGCCAACTGGGGAGGGGGGTGGGGCTCAATCCCAGGACCCTGAGATCACCACAGGAGCCAAAGGCAAGCATTTAGCTAACTGAGCCACACAGGTGCCCTAATATTTCACATTTTTAAAATAAAATCTAGGAGTTATAAGGTATTTCATAACAACTTTAGGTAATTAAATCAAAGTCCACTACAACAGATATTGCAACAGATTTAATAATTTTTCAGATATACTGGTTCTTATTGTATGAGTGTGGGTGGGTGTGAGGTGGAGAGATATCCCATAACTGAAAACTAACTTTCCTAACTCCCCATTCTCTGCTGCTCTGAAGTTGAAAGAAAGAGATATGGAGGGTGAGGGAATGAAGGAAAGAGAGGAAATATGAATAAAAGGGAATAAACTAGAAGAAGAGCAAGGGTGGGATAAGAGTCAAGAGAGTCCAGAGTGTCACCCAATTTGGAGATGGAGGTGGGAAAGCTAATCCTCCAAAGGAAGCATCTCAGTAGGTCTTTCACATTTCACTTTCTCCATCTCCAAAATTTTTATTCCCTGCCTTTAGAAATTGTTTTATTGCTTGGGGGAAAATATGTCACACACCACTAAGTACTTAAATTCAGTTAAATTCCTTTAGTATTTTGTATCTGCAACCTGTTCACTTGGTATCCTGGGAGTTGTTGGTGACACACAGGAATTGTTTGATGGTTTATTCTTTCAAGTTACCCCTTATTTTGGTGTATCTATCTGCCCCATATAAACAGAGGTCGACATATAAATTTAACAACTGTACTTCCAGTGAAGGGGCCTGGAGAAAGAGGCTAACATTTAATGTAAAGAATCTCAGCTAGGACCTGCCTTGGAAGGGGACAAAAGCCTGGCCAAAGGCAGCAGCAAGAGAGCTATATCTTTCCAGACCAGAGAAGACAGCTTGAGCACAGCAGGATTTCCTTAAAGGAGAAAAGGAAGAATAGATTTGGTATAGAAGAAAAATCATCCTCCCTCTAGGGAAAGAAAGCAATGGAGCAATGGAGGTCTGGGCTGCCCCAAGCTTGGATTTTGTTGGAGAGGGGAGTAGTTTGTGGCCTGGGAGGGTAGGGGAAAGGGGGGTATGGGTGCCATTGCTCCTGTGCTCAGGGCTGAGAAGGCTGTGTAGAGGACCACCAGTCCCATCAGGCAACTTACAGGGTCCCTCAGTTGAGATAACAGTAGCACTAATATTAACAGCTAATGCTTCTTGTATGTTCACATATGCCAGAGTATGTCTTAATTATATATATAATTCCAATTATATATATTATTTTTGCAATTTCCAATATAATATATATTGGAAACCTCTTGCTATATATATATATTTTTATATTAAAAATATTTTTTTAAAGTAGGCTTCATGCCCAACATGGGGTTTGAACTCATGACCCTGAGATCGAGAGTTATTATATATATATATTTATGAAACCTCTTGCTATATATATGTATTTTATATATATTATATATATATATTTAAAAGTAGGCTTCATGCCCAACGTGGGGTTTGAACTCATGATCCAGAGATCGAGTTATTATATACATATATATATTTATGAAACCTCTTGCATATATATATAGTGTCATTCATTATATATATTTTTATATATATATATATATTTCAAAAGTAGGCTTCACGCCCAATGTGGGGTTTGAACTCATGATCCAGAGATCGAGTATTATATATATATATATGTATATATATGAAACCTCTTGCTATATATATTTTTTAATTATTTTTATTGGTGTTCAATTTGCCAACATATAGAATAACAACCAGTGCTCATCGCATCAAGTTATATATTTTTATATATAAAAATATATATTTTTAAAAGTAGGTTTCATACCCAACGTGGGGCTTGACCTCAGGACCCTGAGATCAAGAGTCCTATGCTCTATGGGCTGAGCCTGTCAAGCACCTGTTTTAATCGCATCCATTAAATGCTCACAGCATGATAAAGTACTACTGAACCCTTCTAGGGAAGGACAAACGGAGGCCAGGTTGTCCGCCTCCCGGCCGCGAAGGAGGCTTCCGGGGCCGCGCCCTTCGTAGGTCCGAGTCGGTGGGGGGGGGGGGTGGAGCCGGGGCCCCAGGGCCGCATGGAGGAATCGGGCCGCTCTCCCCATCAGCGTGAGGCTTCAGCGACGGGAATTTCCGGATGCTGGGCACACCTGGCTCCACCTGCAAGCGCATTCCAAAGTGAAATTTCAATGACCATTTTCCTCCCCTTTCGCCTTGGCGGCCTTCACAGCATCACCGGGAGCGGCGGATTTGCAGGTGACTCAACAGGGAAACCGAGAGTTAGCAGAGGGCATCACCCCCCCCCCGCCCCCCCCCCCCCGGATTGTGTTCCAGGCCTTTCAGGCCTTCGGAGGTGGCCTGACAAACTCAGCAACACGAATTCTGTGATTTCTCACCCAGCACACGGTCCCCCTCTCCTATCGGGTGGCTCTAAGATTAGGGCCCGGGATTCCCCTTTCCTCTGTCACCTGCACTATGCAAAACCTACCTGGCGGGAGATGGGGGGCGGGGCGGAGTATTTTTCTTAAGAGATGACGTTATAGGGTATTAGGCTTAGAAGTGGAAGGGAGGTGGGGGGGGGGGTTGGGGAGACTGGGTGACGAGCACTGGGTGTTACGCTAAATGTTGGCAAATTGAACTCCCATAAAGAAAAATTAAAAAAAAGCAAGCAAAAAAATAAAAAAAGAAGAAAAAGTGGCAGAGACTTGTTTGTCGTGCAGCGATTACAATTACGGGACAAACGCTGGATTCTTGGCTACGCTTTGCGGGGAAAGGAAAGACCTCCCTGCGGGGAGGAGGCGGCAGGAGGCAATGGGCTTTGGCTCCAGGAGACTCTGGAATCCCCTGTGACATTTGTTCAAATGCCCACCTATAGCCTAAAAAAAAAAAAAAAAAAAAAAACCTCGGAGAAACCCTGAGGATGCCGGGGGCTCGACCCCGCCGCCGCAGGTCGGCACCTCCGAAGCCGACTTTATTTATTTATAAGATTTTGCTTATTTATTAGAGTCACAGGCGGAGGGAGAAGCAGGCCCCACGCGGGGCGCCCGACGCGGGGCTCGATCCGGCGGCCCCAGGGTCGCGCCCCGGGCGGAGGGCAGGCGCCGCGGACCGCGCAAGCGCACTGGCAGGACAGCAGCTCCCAGCAAGCGCTGGGGACAGTCACCCGTGGGGGCACCGACTCAACGTAGACGGCGTAGTGACGCTTTAAAAAAAATAATAATAAAATAAATAAAGGTTGGCTGCGGGGAGGACCGCACGGGAACGCGGGCCGGGCTGACTGAGGTCGCGGGGGGCAGCGCCCCGGCGGCGGCGGCCCCGGACACACCTGCCCCGCCGCCATCCGGGCCCCTCCCCGCACCCCCGGCGTCCCGACGTGCGAGCCGTTACGGTGATTTGAAACGCACGCACCACCAATCAGCGGGCGCGGGGGGAGGGCCGCGGCCAATCAGCGGGCGCGGACGGGGAGGCGGGCGGACGGCCGCGGCCAATCGGCGCCCCTCTGGGGGCCGCGGCCTATGGGAGGCCGGTTGACATCCTGCGCCAATCGGCGCGGCTTTTAGAGAGCGCGGCTCACTTTTTGAATTGGTGGTGGCCGACCCCGCGAGGATGGCGCCGGCCGAGGCGGGCGTCGGTGCGTGAGCAGGTGGGCCGCCCAGCGAGCTTCCGAGAGCGGTGAGGACCCTGTGGGTGGGGGGGGTGGGGGGGTGGGGGGGCGGGGGCCGCAGCTGCCCGGCTCCGGGGCCTCGCTCCCCGCTCACCGCGCTCCCGGCCGCCGCGCCGTGGTGTGTGCTGGGGCCCGGGGTCCCCGGCGGGCCCGGCATCGTCAGCCGGTACCTGGTTCGCTCCTCCTGGCGGAGGGATGTGGGGGGGCGGGGAGTGGAGGAGGGGAGGAGGGGGGAGAGGGGCGCAGGGGGGAGGGAGGGATGTCGGGGGAGGAGGGACGGGGCGCAGGGGTCAGGGGTCGCCGCCTAGGGGGAGGGAGGGATGTCGGGGGAGGGGAGGGGGGAGGAGGGACGGGGCGCAGGGGTCGCCGCCCCATCCCTGCGGTTCCGGCGGCGGCTGCCTTAATCTCCACCGGGCCTAGTGGTTTCCCTCTGCGGTTCTTCTGGCTGTGTTCCCTGGAGGAAGTCTATTTTTTTCTTTTTTTCCAGATTTTTAAGGGTGTCAGGCCCTTCCGCCCCCCGCGGGCTCCTCCCTCCCGGGACCCGATTTGTTTGGCTTTAGTGGCTGAAAGCGCAGCCCCTGCGGGCAGCCCGGGGCCCGACCCGCCGTGGGCCCGACCCGCCGTGGGCCCGACCCCCGTGGGCCCGACCCGCCGTGGGCCCGACCCCCGTGGGCCCGACCCGCCGTGGGCCGGGCCGGGGTGCCTGCCTCACCCGTCTCTCGCAGGTGCAAGGTCTGTAGGACGCAGACAGTAGTAGTCCCCGCCTCTCTTAGGGACACCTTCAGAGATCGAGGAAATGCCCGCGGAAGAACTTGGAACAAGGCGTTTAGGCGTTGAATGGATGGATGTTGACCCACCATGTCTGTGACGGTGACGCTGTTACTGGTGATGCTGTCGGTGTTACCGTCCCACACAGCATTTCGTTTAGCTTCTCTGAAGGATGACTGCCTAAAAAAAAAAAAAAATATATATATATATATATATATGTATATATATATATGTAAAAGTAAAGAAGTAAAAGGAAACCTAAAATGAATGTTTAAGCGACAGATTTTTGTCCTCGGGATGACAAGAGGCACGTGTGACAGTCATTTATTTAGTCGAAAGCTGCTTGAGTATGTTCTTGGATGAGAGGGAAGCTCGATGGGTTTGTGAGACGTGATCTGTGGTCTTTATTTAAAAAGCTTACAGGGGATCCCTGGGTGGCTCAGCGGTTTGGCGCCTGCCTTTGGCCCAGGTCGAGTCCCACGTCGGGCTCCCTGCATGGGGCCTGCTTCTCCCTCCTCCTGTGTCTCTGCCTCTCTCTCTCTCTCTCTATCATGAATGAATGAATGAATGAATGAATGAATCTTTTAAAAAGCTTACAATGTGAGTCAAAACGATCAGTGTTATTTCCGGCCATAATCCGAAGCACTGGATGTCATCCACTGCCCCACAACTCTTGTTTTTTTCTGAGATTTGAAGCTATTTCAGCAGTAAATTGATCACATGCGGTATTTATCAGAGACGATTTTAATTTTTGATTACCTAGTTTGATGCCCTTTAAACAGGCATAGGAGAAAAAATGTGAACTCATATGACGTTTTTGAATATTAAAATCTCCCTCCTTCATTGCTTAAAGTACATTAGTTCATCTCTCGACTTGTTTTAAGGTTAGGGAAGCCTTGAATGAGAGCCTTTGTAGAGTTTTTCTTTTTCATGGAAACCGTTAAGTGTAGGAGACTTAACAAAAAAGGGCTGGATGGGGATCCCTGGGTGGCTCGGTGGTTGAGCGTCTGTGTCTGCCCTCAGTCCAGGGTGTGACCCCTGGGGTCCTGAGATTGAGTCCCGCATCGGGCTTCCGGCATGGAGCCTGCTTCTCCCTCTGTCTGGGTCTCTGCCTCTCTCTCTGCGCCTCTCATAAATACATAAGTCTTAAAAAAAGGGGGGGGGCTGGATGGAATTTGTCATTGATTCTAAATAGAGGCTGTTAGTAACAACTATCAGAGCATCCCTTTGGAGAGGCTTAGAGTGATGATTGATGGGGAAGTACATAGTAAGACAAAAAGAGTCCGCATTTTGAATTTTATGGAAGTTTTCAATTGTCACTCACTTTAAGATGTCTTCTATTCAGTTTTCATCACAACTGGATTTGGGTTGTGCCTTTTCATTATCTTTTTCTTGTGGAGGGTGACCTGAAGAAACTGACGAAAGAATGGTTTGGAGCTACACCATTTGACCAAGTGGCCATTGAGCATAGAGAAGGGGGGCCAGGTCTCTGCTCTTTTTTTCCTAAAATTTGAAGCTGCTTTGGCAGTAAACTAATAATCAGAGATGCTTCCTATGAGGTCCCAGAGTACTTGAGGTAGGACTGAGGAATTTGGGGGAGGGCAAATGAAGTAAAGAGTAAGGGGAGATCTATGTTTTGACAGGGCTTATCTGAAGGATGATGGTAGTATTATAAATGGAGATGGGAAGAAGAGTAGATTGGCTGAAGGCAAAGGTGGGGAGGAGGGAGATAGAATATTTACGACTACTTTTGAATTTTCATTGTATGTCAGGTAATGTTCTGAGTACTTTTCATGCATTGTTATTTTTACTGTATTCCTATGAGTCAGGTAGTAGTATCTTTATTTTACAGAAGGGGAAACAGGCTCGGAAGTTGAATGACTTTTTTTTGGTTCAATGTTAAGGAAGATGAATGATGATACTTTTTTTTAATGAATTCTAGACATAAAAGTAGAGCCTCTAATGCTTGTTTTTGCCCAATGATCATGCATTTTTTATTCACACTTTATGTTTTTCAGCCAACATAGAAGAGTACTAACAATGGCTGACAATAGCATATTAACATCCACTACTGGAAGGACGAGCTTGGCAGACTCCTCTATTTTTGATTGTAAAGTCACTGAAATTTCTAAGGAAAATGAGTTTATTGGATCTGCTTCATATGTTGAAGGTAAACCTGTTAATCAGCTTTAAAGCACCAAATCACAGGCAGCCCGGTGGCTCAGCAGTTTAGCGCCGCCTTCAGCCCAGGGCCTGATCCTGGAGACCCGGGATCCAGTCCCTCATCGGGCTCCCTGCATGGAGCCTGTTTCTCCCTCTGCCTGTGTCTCTGCCTCTCTCTCTCTCTCTCTGTGTCTCTCATGGATAAATAAATGAAATCTTAAAACAAAACAAAACACCAAATCACTATTTTAATTCTAAATTTTCTGACTAGGAGTTTAGGATTTCACTGTAATACTGTTAAGCAGACTACAGTTATTCAGTAAATATTTGTTGACAGAATCTCTTTATACTTTGTAGATTTTTTAAAGCTTTTATTTAAATTCCAGTGAACATGCAGTGTGATACTAGTTTCAGGTGTACAATGTAATGATTCAACACTTCCAGATCTCCTGTCCTCATCACCTGTCTCGCCCCCTGCCCTGGGGTAACCATCAGTTTGTTCTCTATAATTAAGAGTCTGTTTCTTGCTTTGTCTCTCATATTTTTCACTTTGCTTGTTTTGTTTCTTAAATCTCACATGAGTGAAGTTCTGTGGTATTTGTCTCTCTCTGACTTATTTCACTTAGCATTACACTTTCTAGCACCATCTACGTTGTTGGAAATGGCAAGATTTCCTTTTTTGTGACTAATATTTCATTATACATACACCACATCTTTATCCATTCACCAACTGATGGCAGATGCTTGGCTTCCATAATTTGACTATTGTAAATAATGCTGCTATAAACATAGGGGAGCCTGTATCCCTTTGAATTAGTGTTCTTGTATTCTTTGGGTAAATATCCAGTAGTGTGATTGCTGGGTCATAAGGTAACTTTTTGAGGAACCTCCATCCTGTTTTCCAGAGTGGCTGCACCAGTTTGCATTCCCACCAACAGTGCACAAGAGCTACTTTTTCTCCCCATCCTTGCCAATACCTGTTTTTGACTTTAGCCATTTATACTATGTAGATTTTTGATTACTGTTTGGATCAATGCTTCCCACCTTGGAAGGAGAAAGCATCTTATTGTTGAATATTGCTTCTTCCTTGTATGAGGGCAGTCTAACTGCAACACTGTTAGAATTTATTCAGTTATGAATGGTTAGGTGAAGAGCCACTTCTTCCCTTAACTGCTTTATAAATGGGTCTCCTGAAGTTGCATGCACTGTTGAAGAGGATAGCTGTGCAAGAGAGTAAATTTTTTTTTTTGTTAAGAGGAGTGCTGATGTTTGTATACTCTGCTGCAATTTGTTTTCTCTTTCTCTAAAGTGATAGGTGATCACATTTTAAAAAATAAAGAGAATTAAGTCATTTTAATTTTAGAGAATATTATGATCTCAAAGATGGAAATACATGCCAGATTTAGCCAAAAGAGGGATTAAGAACTGTTAATTTTGATATTAGTACCTGATAAACATATTTAAATATTTTTATTTTTAATAGAAGAAATGCCTCAAATCGAAACGAGAATGATTTTGGTTCAAGAAGCTGGAAAACAAGAAGAACTTATAAAAGCTTTAAAGGTATGGAATTTTAGTTTTTTAAGGGAAAGACTATTTTTCTTCCATCAATATTTAAGTAATTTTATAGTTTTCTTTATCTTATACTTAAGTCTCTTTTCCACAGACCATTAAAATAATGGAAGTCCCTGTTATAAAGATAAGAGAAAGTTGTCCTGGAAAGTCGGATGAAAAATTAATAAAAAGTGTTGTTAATATGGTAGGTCAAGCATTTCATTGCATGTGGCATGCTGCACTACTCTTGATTGTATTCTTAAATTCCACTTAATGGTGATGGACCTAAATTAGGCACAAGGTATATTTTGCACTCTGAAGCTAGATGAATAGAATCATTTATATTTATTTTAAAAATATGAGTATTTCTGAAACCCCGAACTATAGTATATATTTTAAGTATGAATTCTTTACACAGTAACTTGGCATTGTTAAATTTAAATGGCGCACATATTCACAAATATATGGTGTTTTTCTTACCTTAACTCTTAGCTTTTTTTTCCCCATTAATTTTATGTTTATTCCAAATTCTTGCTCTATTTCCAAAATTATAAATTGCTGGGGCACCTGGATGGCTCAGTTAAGTGTTCAACTCTTGTTTTTGGCTTGGGTCATAGTCTTAAGGTGGTGGGATAGAGCCCCAAGTTGGGTTGCAGGCTTCGGATGGAGTTTGCTTGAGATTCTCTCCCTCTCCTCCGGCTCTTCCCCTTGCTCATGCACATGTGCTCTCTTTCTCTCTTTCAAATAAAATAAATAAAATCTTAAAAATATATATATAAATCACAATAACTTGAGAGTCATCAGGGAATTCGTTTCCGCATATGAAATATATTCTGTATACCAGCTATAGTAGTTTGTGAGAGCTGCTGTAATAAAATACTGAGACCGGTGGCTTAAACAATAGAAATGTATTTTTCAAAGTTCGGGAAGCTAGAAGTCCCAAGATCAAGATGTTGAAAGGTTTGGTTTCTCTTGAGGTCTCTCTCCTTGGCTTGCAGATGGCTGCCACCTTTTTATGACTTCACATGGCCCTTTTGGGCATGCACATCCCTGATAACTCTGTGTCCTTGACTTTCTTCTTTCTATAAGTACAGCAATTTGATCAGATTAGGGCCCACCTACATGACCTCATTGAACAAGATTACCTCTTAAAGGGCCCTGTCTTCAAATATAGTCTGATTTTGAGATACGGGGGTGGGGGTTAGGGCTTCAGTGTGAATTTCAAGGACATACAATTCAGCTCATCACATCAGCCTAGCAAATAAAGCCCAAAACAACTTACCAATTCAGAATTTTCTTTTAAAATAGTTCCATTCCTTTTGAACAGGAGTCATACAGGTACTTTAATATCTTCATTTTATCTTAGATGTACATTATAAAATATTAAACATAAAGCCTTTTTATATCCTACATTTTGTCACACAGCAACTGCCTTCTTATTTCATATCTCTTATTTCCCTCATATATACTGAAATGGTTAAGTTAACCTATACCCTTTTTGTAGATACTAAGTGGCATAGTATTTTTTCTATTTCTATTAATCATTCTGAAGATGATTTATGAACAAAGAACTGTTAAGTGTGGCATCATTTTCTTAGAATAAAAAGTAATAGTGGAGGGATGCCTGGCTAGCCCAGTGTTTGAGCCTCTGCCTTTGGCTCAGGGCGTGACCCCAGAGTCCTGGGGTCCAGTACTTCATTGGGCTCCCTGCAGGGAGCCTCCTTCTCCCTCTGCCTGTGTCTCTGCCCCTCTCTCTGTGTGTCTTGTGAATAAATAAATCTTTAAAACAAATAATACTGGATATCTTTCTAATGCATCCTACTATCAAAATATGTATATATAAAAATCATTTAAATTTTATATGTGTATTAGATTTATAATGACTAAAGTCATGTTAAAAATTTATAATATTAATATTCAGAATTTAATATCAATATGGATGGAGATATGTATCTATAAAAATACAAATAAGTAAATAAGGCTGTTTGCTATTAAGTATAATGCTCATTGTGTGATTTACAAGTTTACTACAAAATCTAAAAATAAAAATATTGATAGTGAATTGATTTTAGGTTTAGAGTTATATGAATTAATTTTGTAATTATAAATTTTTATTTCTCATACCACCTGAAAAAAATCAAGGAAATTAAAGTGCCCTTTGTAAAGATGGAATCACTAGAAGAATTTGAAGGCTTGGATTCTCCAGAATTTGAAAATGTGTTCATAGTCACGGACTTCCAGGATTCTGTTTTTAATGAGTTATACAAGATGGATTATAGAATTGTTGGACCACCAGTTATCTTAAACTGTGCCCAAAAAGGAGAGGTAAGAAAATATACATTTATTATGACTTTCAAGGTTAAATTTTTATTAATGAATTTTGTGAAAATTCTTTACCAGAAAAATCCTGTTAATTGTTAGGAGTATGTAATAGTTAGAATAAGGTTAGTAGTTGTTATTCTAAGATAGTTTTTAAAATCTTTCTATTGTAACTCATAGGACTAAAAATCTTAAGACTTTTAAAATAATGACAATCATATATTTGTGTGTATATACGCACATATATGTCTTAATACCTTCTGGGGGAGAGAGAATTTCTTAAAACTTGGGTTCCAGCAATGTATACACATATATAAACTTATTTTCTTCCATAGAATATATATACATTTCCATTTTTATTTGTTACTTCATGGTTTAAACATATTTTTTAACCATTCTTTTTCCATTATGTATATATCTCCTTTGGTTAAATTATTACTGTTTGCATTTTTATAGCTCAAAAATTGGAATCATATTTGGTTCAAGTATATGTGTAATTTACATAGTGTTCGTTATAAAATATTTCAAACTGTTGTAACTTTAATTTGGAAACATTTACAATAGTGTATAGAGTCTGAAATTTTCCTAGTAGGTAAAACTTTGTGTCAAAGTATATTTTAGAACTGAAAGTTTGTGTATAAATATGTTTAAATTGCCAGTAGTAAGGTGTGTTTAGATTATGTGTGCCAAATATCAATTGGGAATTATGAGGGGTTTTTGTATTGTAAACTTTGTAATATATGTTTTTTGCTATTTTTTTTTAGTTTTTTTTTAATTGGTATTCACTTCAGAAACTTGAATCCACAGATATAAGCAGTATATTACCAGAAAGTTACAAGTAAACACAGATTATACATGCAAATTTCTGTTCACAAAGGTCACATGTGCGTTGTATTCTAGTAGTCAATGTATTTTCAGTGAAATGTAAAAATATTCCCGTTCTCTTTGAGCAGTATTAATTCCTTGAGATCTTATTGCTTGTCACTTGAATCTTGTAGCTGTCATACATCTGGTATAAGCAACATTTGATTTTTGAAGTGTGTAGACCATCTCTTCATATTTCAATATGTAATTTTACATTTCTGCATTTTAAAAACAGTTTGGCCATAATCTAGACACACGCTTCTAATTCATATACCTGCACATGTGACCTTTGTGAACAGAAATTTGCATGTATAGTCTGTGTTGTATCTTGAAAAACACAAGAAATCTTGGATTAACAAAGTTGATTGGCAAGAGGGGGAAATATGTCTTAGCTTGAGAAAGATGTGTTCTATTCTCTACTATAAAGAAAGCTCACAGATTTAAAATTGTTATATCCTTCAGCCTTTGCCTTTTTCATGTCGCCCACTCTATTGTACGAGCATGATGAATCTAGTACTATGCTTTACTGGATTTAGAAAAAAAGAAGAACTAGTAAGTATTTTAAAACCTTCTATTCAAGGAATAATTTTTTTCCAGCCAAATAAATTTAAATTGATATTTTTGTTTGGTTAATTATATCATGGTTTTATTTAAAACATATTGAAGGAGAATTTATGAATGTGCTATTTTAAATTTTATGAAGAAACATTCTGAAGAGCATTTTAAAGAAACATTTAGTTTAGGATGGCAGGCATATGAATTAATAGAAAGACCTTATTACTATCTGATCTGCTTAAATTGTCTTTGTGTTAAGTACCATTGAGCATATTATTTGAAGTTTTTCTTAACACATTACAATTTTTGGTTATACAAGTCCAGCCTTAATGTATATTCATTGCCCTAGAGAATTCATAGAAACCTTTTTGGTTCATAAAATTTTTTGTGTTGGAGCTATTAGGGTATTACTGTAATTTGTGGGAAGAATCTTGGTGTGATATAACCTAGTGTTAAAAAAAAATCTTTTTGGATGTATGAAAGCCAGTTGTTTAATTTCATTAAGTTTTGGGCAGTCATCTCTACTACCTTATCTCTATGTATAATTTTGCCTGTGCAAATAAGGCAAATGAATCTTTAATTTTTTTTGACATAAAATTCATATCTTAATAAAAATTCTTGTATGTACCTTATAAATAAAAATTATTCAGTAGATGCTAAATGACTTCTAAACATAATTTAACATTTTGTTCAAGTTAATTATAAAGTTAACGTTGCCTAATTTTTCTTTTGAGGTCAGATTGGTGACGTTGGTTCATCACATGGGTGGAGTTATTCGAAAAGACTTTAATTCAAAAGTTACACATTTGGTGGCAAATTGCACACAAGGAGAAAAATTCAGGGTATGTAAATTTGAGTATTTCACTATAGCATTTTTTGGGGGTAGGGATAGATAACAGCACTTTCATCCTATTTCTCTCACAGTTTACTGAGAATCAGAAATTCAATTTTTGCTAAGTACATTTAGTAAAAATTTTAAATCCTAGGAGTGTGGTCTTTTAGGTTTTAAGGAAGCAATGAAACCTGAGTTAGGTCTTGAAATAAGTAGCATTTGCGAATGAGTAGGATTGTGGAGGTTGGTAGATGGGTAACGTTTCAGGCAGATAATTAATATCAGCAAAGGTTACTATTAAGTGTTGGTGAATAAGGGGATTGGGAAGTGCGCAGTTATTTCACTCTTGCCTAAATGGTCTTAAGAACTGAGCTATCTTCTTATAAAATGGCTCTAAGGTTTAACTAGTGAAAACTATGAAAGAGCAGGAAAAACTACTTTTATTAGAATTAAAATCTTAGTTTAAGATTGCTCTTGAATATCGTAGGAAGAGCTTATCACCTTGTTCCCACCCTCCATCAGAGTATTTATGTAAAAAATGGTAATTAGGGGGAATGTTGAATTCCTGAGAGGTATACTTTTCAATTCATATCTTAGTTTCTTGTGACTTAATCAGGTATTTTGTTCTGTAATCCTATCTTGGGGGTCAGTACTTCTAAAGGAGTAAACACGGAGAAAAGAGAAATAGAAGTATAGTAAAATAAAGATGAACTTTTAACTTCAGAGTTGTATTTATTTAAAATAAGGAAATGATTTGGATATCATGGAACTTGTTCTAAATTATTTTAACCTAACTTGTATGATTGAAAGACAGTTTTTCTGTTAATGTTTCTTTATTTTGTCATAAAGCAGATGAATAATGATTTAAAACTTCAAAAAATATGTATAAAGTTGCTTAGAAATTCCATGAATGAGTTATTTAAGGTGAAAATTTATTGTGATTAACTTATGTTTTTAGATTGCTGTGAGCCTGGGCACTCCAATTATGAAGTCAGAGTGGATTTACAAAGCCTGGGAAAGGCGGAATGAACAGTAAGTGTTTAGAAAATCAGTAGTTCATGATTTGAATTAAATGTTATGAAGGTAAACTCATGTGCCCAAAACCCTAAATTCATAAAGAGTATAGACAGAATGAATTCAGTCTTTGGGTAGCCTAATGAATAAAGTCTAGGAGGAACAAAGTTATAAAAACATAAAAAATTGAAAGACATATATGGTTATCTTCAGACTTTACCTTGTGGGATAATTTTGATTATCATTAGCATTCTAAAACTCTTAGGTAATAGCTTAATGAATCTGGATATATGGGTTGTGTTATATTTTTTTCACTCTGGTTACATTCTAAGTGGTGATTGCAACTCAATACCTTGTTAAGCTTTCCAACCTCATAATTCCTTGCTATTCTGCATCATTACTTAATATTTCATAAAGCTGTAGAACCCCTGGAATAGATAGAAAATTTCACGTCCAGAGCAAGGATTTGAATCTTTTAAAGACTACTTGTGATCAAATTTTATCAGAATTTACTCCCGGATGACTGAGGACACATCCAATTTTTTTTTTTTAAGCAATGTTTTTGTGAACATTTCAGGACCACATGTAAAATATTTTCAATAAATAGATTATACTAAAACTTAGAGAATTATTGTAGATGTATAAATTGATATACTTTCTGAATTTAAGTTAAGCTGGTTTTAGAAGAGTATATTTTGTTTTTAGGGATTTCTCTGCATCAGTTGATGACTTTAAAAATGAATTTAAAGTACCTCCATTTCAAGATTGCATTTTAAGTTTCTTGGGATTTTCAGATGAAGAAAAAAACAATATGGAAGAAATGACTAAAATGCAAGGTAGAATTTACTATAATTTAAAAAGTTCATATTTTTTTCCCCCACTCTTGGTTAATTACCTCCTGGTGAATATACCTCTTTAAAAATTCAGGTTTGGAGATAAATAGTTTGACTTATGCTTGTGTGCATTTCTTTTAGGAGGTAACTGTTTACCTGTTGGAGATGAAAGATGCACTCACCTTGTAGTTGAAGAGAATATAGTAAAAGAACTTCCATTTGAACCTTCAAAGAAACTTTATGTTGTCAAACAGGAGGCAAGTAATTCTAGAATAAGATTGGCTTTTGTTTTAGAGTTTTATTTTTATTTTATTTTTTTATTTTAAGTAGGCTTCACACTCAGTGTGGGGCTTGAACTCACTATACCAAAATTAAGAGTTTCATGCTGAGTTTCAACTCAAAATCATGAGTTTCACTCATGACTAACTGAGTCAGCAAGGAGCCCCAAGATTGGGTTTTTAAAAATATTACTAATTGCTTCTCTGATAAGATAGATTCTTTTTTTTTTTTTTTTTGAGATTTTATTTATTTGAGAGAGAGAGAGAGAGAGAGAAAGAAAGAGAGAAAGAAAGAAAGAAAGCAAGCAAGCAAGCGAGCATGAGCAGGGGAGAGGCAGAGGGAGAAGCAGACTCCCCACTGAGCAGGAAGCCTGACATGGGGCTCGATCCCAGGACCCTGAGATCATGACCTGAGCCAAACGCAGATGCTTAACCAGCTGAGTCACACAGGTGCCCCTGATAAGATAAATTCTTAATTAAAAAGTTTTTCTTCTCTCACCTAGTGGTTCTGGGGAAGCATTCAAATGGATGCTCGAGCTGGAGAAACTATGTATTTATATGAAAAGGTATGTATTTTTGTCCCTTAGTCATTCTGTGATTTTGATTGTATAAAGATAACACTTCTATCTGAAAAGAATATTATATAAATGGCATGTTTAAGAGTTTGTGAATAATTGAACAATTAGATATTGAAGAAGTTTGTGTAGATTTAAGCAAAACTATTCGGTTTTAATCTACCATATGTCATTTTGTGCTACTTCTTAGTGATACCATTATGAACAATAACATTCCTATCTTTCGAAACTTAGAACCTTAAGGGAAAGATAGATATACAATTACAGTGCTGAATATGTGCTGTAGTTGAGTTATTATTTTAACTAACCTCTCTCTGAGAGACTCAGGCAGGACTGAAAAGAGCAAACACACGTTGAACCAACTGATTAGGCTAATCTTGCAAGGACATTCAAGTTAGACAGCAGGTGGGAGATGATGTGAAGATTGAAAGTACCTTGAAATAGCAAGTAGTTCAGTATGGGTCTTGAAAGGAGTGTGGGAAAGAAGGCCAACAAATAAAGCTTACAATTTAGGTAGAAGCAAGTAGTTTTTAAAATGTTAAGGAATTTGGGTAGTATTGGGAACCATTGAAGTATATTAAGGAGAGAGATGTCATTGGAAAAGTAACTCTATTAGTAGATTGTAGGCAAGGAAGATGCACCTGTCACGCTAGATTGGGGAAGAGTGTATCATTTACAAAAACGTGGCATAAAGGTATAGAAGTAGGCTTTAAGGGAAAATTTTCTTTAGTGGGAGATTTAATTTGAATGAAATATTGAAGATTGAGGTACAGATTTATTGTATTACTGTGAAATCTAGATAGGTTCTATATTGTCTTGTCTTCTGACTCTTGTTCTCAGTGTAGAGTTCTTGACCATAAAGTTTAAAAACTGCTTTAAATTCTAGCAGAGAGCTTTTAAAGTCAAGCATTATTTGGCAAATACTGGAGAGCAAGATGTCCAGGCACTGTGCTAAATGCTAAGGATACAGTGAACGAACTGTGAATGGTCCCTGCTCTCCAGAGTTAATGGCCTAACAGGGGACTAGACAGTAAACAAGCTTACAGATGAATATGTAATGGTGATAGAGCTGAGAAGAAACAGAATGAGGTGCTTGGGGTTAGGCAATTACAGTGGTCCCTTGTCTATTATGTTTTATGAATCTTCTGAATTTCTTGGCAGAGTGTAGGGTTGTAAAATCATTGTGCAAAATCCAGATTTTTGTCAGACTTGTAAATATAATTTTCTTCTATTCCTGTCTCAGTGTAGAACCAAGGAAGTAAAATTGAGCTTTTGTGCTTTTGATTGCAGGCTGATACTCCTGAGCTCAAGAAATCAGTGTCACTGCTTTCTCTAAATACCCCAAACAGCAATCGCAAAAGACGTCGTTTAAAAGAGACACTGGCTCAGCTTTCCAGAGAGACCGACCTGTCACCTTTTCCTCCCCGTAAGCGCCCATCAGCTGAACATTCCCTTTCTATAGGATCACTTCTAGATATCTCCAACACACCAGAGTCTAGCATTAACTATGGAGGTAATTCACATTAAAAAAAAATTGATCATTAAAATTTAGTGGAATGCAATAATTGTTAGAATATAGATAAATCACTACTACAGTGAATATGAAAGGTTCTACCTTTTATTATACCTTTGTTCCAGCTGAGGAGAAAAGGCACATAAAAATGCTTCCATTTAATGATTGTTTACTATATGCTAAGTGCTTTCTATATTTTATTTGTATATCACTCTAGAAAACGATAGAGCTTTTCAAAGAACAAATTCTTAACACCAGCAAAACAAGATTAGAGTGTCGCATGGATTGTGGAGAAAATAGGTATGATGAAATCAGCAGAGGCTGAGCTCAGTTCTCAAATGATATAGGGAGGCCCTGCAACTAACTCTTCTCTCTTGATCATCAGTTTTTCCCTCTACTTTTGTTTTATGATCTACACACAAATATGTCTTGTTTTTTAGTTTTAAGAAACAGTCAAAACGTCCCCTTGACCCCCTGACACTCTCTACTTTCTACTCCATTTCTCTCTTTCCTTTTGCATGAGTATTCTTCAAAGATTTAACAGTGATCTGTTGTGTCAGTTCCTTGGTTTTCATTGTCTTCTCAACCCATTCCAATTGAACCTTAGTCCCTACTGCATGAAATTGCTCTTGCTGAGATGACTTTTTTTTTTTTTTTTTTTTTTTTTAAGATTTTATTTGAGAGAAGAGAGTATGAGCAGGGGGAGTAGCAGAGGGAAAGAGAGAGAGAAGCAGACTCTCTTCTGAGCAGGGAGCCTGACATGAGGCTTGATCCAGGACTGTGAGATCATGACCTGAGCTGAAGGCAGACACTTAACAGACTGAGCCACCCATGCATCCAAGATGGACAGGTTTTATGTAGTCAGCAGCATTTAATGCATGAACAGCTGCTATATGCTCCTCCAACTGAGTCAGCCAGCTGCCCCCATTTTTGCCTTTCTACATGCAGCACTTAGGTCTCTAAAATACACATAAATTAGCTCATGCCCTCCTGTGCTTGAAGTCATTCAGTGGCTTTCCATTACCATAGCTTTTGAGTTCCTATGTGATCCTTTCTCACCTACCTCCATACTTAGATGATGATGTGCTCTTCTATAATACTTGAAGCTTCAGTCACACTTATCTTTGTTATTCTTTGGATATTTCCACTACATTCATACCTCAGGAACTTTATACTTTACCTCTTTGCCTTAAAAGAAATCTTCCTGGGTTTCTGCATAGTTAAGTCCCTGTTCCAGTACTTCTCACTAATCCATTAACCTGGTGGTTGTCTTCAGTAGTAGTTATCACTTTTAGAAATTAATATTTTTTATTTACTTCACCAGAGTGTAATCTTTAAGAGAACAAAAACCTTGTCTAATCCTTTGCTTTGTTCTCAGTTCCTACTACAGAGTAGATACTCCCTAAATACTCATGGAAGAAGTTGAGTGTCAATTTATAGTAGGCCCAGAAGACTGAAGTGGAGTTGAGAAATGAGAGGGGCAAGAATACAAAATAGTATACAAATTCAGACTTTAGGGAATAGTGAATAGGTGAGTTTGCCTAGAGTATGGGAGAGTAATAGTTAAATTGAAAAGTTAATTGTGGCCTGATATTAGAGGACTTTGAAATCAGACTGGTATGTCTGAACTGCATATTGTCATCAACAAGGAATTTTAGAAACTATTGAGCAGTGGAGTAATTGGTTGAGTAGGTAATTTTTAGTGGATTATTCTGAAGATGATTAAATGGATTATTAAAAGAAAGACAAGTTAGAGATGCCCAGACCATGAAGTAATCCACAGTGGCTTGGGCCACAAGGTGATAAAGCCCTGAACCAAGATTGCTAATAGAGTAAGAAGGATTGTGGAGAGACTGATGGAATAGAGTGACAGGAAGGGAATAAGAGATTAAAATAGAAGACATGTTACCATGTCTGCAAAAATCGAAGTCTGTATTTTAGAGGAAGTGCAGTTTTAGAGAATATCCAGGTTAAACTGAAGTACAGATGTCTAGTAGGTATCTGGAAAAATTGAGGTTGGTACTTGAGTGGAGGATTATGATTAGATACATGGGTCTGAGAATTTACTGGTTCCATAATTGTGGACGTACTGGGCATGAGATGGTAAAAGTTTTTATCATAAAGGAATGAAGCTTGAATATGCAGTTTAGAAGACAAGAGAAGAAAATGAGTCACTGAAGAAAACGGGGATGATACTACACTAATATATTAGGTGTTCTGTGTTGAATCCCCAGTGTGTAGATCACTGCTTATATGTAATAATTAAATTGGGCCAGTGTATGTCAGATTTTTCCTCTTGAGATATGTAACGGCAGAAGCTCTTGGGTCTGGAGAGTAGTCTGACATAATGGATGGCAGGTTGGAAAATCTTTGATGTGTTAGCTTTAAAAAGCATTCAAAGCTCCGTAGTACGCATCATTGTTTTAATAATGTTTTAAGTTGTTATTGAGTAAAACAGATACACTGGGACTGCATGTTATTTTTTTCATGTCATTCTATTGTATGTTATAATTTGTTTTCCTATTTAAGAACTTATTATGAGATTTTGTACTAATGTTAAAGTACTTTAACCATATTGATAGTAAGAAAGTGTATTTTAAGTTTTTATGAGATTTCATTTTTAAAAACTGCATATAAAGTATGCTAATATGTCCTTCCACTTGTGTTGAACTGGATGTTTTATGTTCTTTTATGTTAAGAACTAACAATTTGCAGTTGATGTTGTTGGATTTTGTTGAGGAAGGTGTCTTCCTAACAAGTTTTGTTACAATGTAATCATAACCTTTTTATCCTTTAACTAAATATTTTTATATAGTTGTTTTTCATTTTTACTATTTGAGCTCTTTATTTTGAAATAATTTCCAATTGCAGTAAGCTACAAAAGTAGTATAGAGATTCTAGTACTCTACTCAGAATTCCCAAGTGGAAATATCCTGCTAGGATTCCTTTAGCATTCATTCATTCATTGTCTCTTTCTGTACACACATGGATTGTTTATATCTGCACTGTTGAGACTAAGTTGCAGGTCTGATGTACTTCTAAATACTTAAGTGTGTATTTCCCCAAATAGAGGGACATTTCTTGCACCACTACATACAGTACAGATGTGTTAGAATTAGGAAATTGACATTAATAGTATGACTGTTAATTTTTATCAGTTTAACTAATACTCTTTTTAGGAAAAGAAAAAAAGTTCTTTTTTTCTGGTTCAGGGTCCATTCTAGGATCATATGTTGTTATCTCTAGTCTCTTCTAATCTGGGATAGTTCCTGAACTTTCTTTGTTTTTAATGACCTTGACTGTTTTTGAAGAGTATAGGCCAGTTATTTAGTATAATGTCTGTCAACTTGGAGTCATTGATACTTTTGACCATTTTTTTTTTGTTTTTCTGGCCATATCCTTATGAGGAAATTTTACTTTAATGAAAATCTAAATGGTGTATTTCTAAGAATGGGTATCCTTCCCCTTTTTTTGTTAAGTCTACATAATGTCTCATACTTTTATTTGGTTTTCATTAAATCTTTCCTCTTTTTTACCTTTTAGAAACCCCAAAGTCTTGTACTAAGTCTTCTAAAAATTCCACTCCAGTTCCTTCGAAGCAGTCAGCCAGGTGGCAAGTTGCAAAAGAGCTTTATCAGACTGAAAGTAATTATGTAAATATATTGGCCACAATTATTCAGGTAAGAGTTTGGTTGTAAAATGATCCCTGTTCCAGTATTTCAACTAAAAAAAAGTCTAAGAGATACTGTTTCTTACAAGAAAATTACATAGAGGCACCTATGTCATTTGGTGGCTCAGTCGGTTAAGTGTCTGCCTTCAGCTCAGGTCATGATTCCAGGGTCCAGAGATCAAGCCCTGTGTTGGGCTCCCTGCTCAGCCATAAGTCTGTTTCTCCTTCTCCCTCTGCACCCCCACCCCCACTCATGGGCACATGCTCCCCCCCCCCTTTCTTTTTCTCTCAAATAAATAAAATCTTATAAAAAAATTATGTAAGCATAGAATTGGAACTTAGGTATTAAAAATGAAAATACATAACTAACAAAACTTCTATTGGGGAAGTACCATACGATGAATAGAGTAGCTTCTATTCATACAGAAATAGTATCATTTTTTATAGTGACTAAAAAGAGAAGGATCCTCAGTAGATGATCTCTGAGGGGACTAGGTTTTATTTGATTCAGAACTTTGCAGGTTCCCTGTTACAACACTGAATTTATATACATAGATAAGGTAGGTAACTTGTTTTATTTAGTACCTGTATGTATATGAAAAACAATAGCAATGAAGCATAACAATATGGATGTAATTTTTTTGGTAATCATGTGTCAAGTTTCTTAAAGGATGCAGTGGTTAATCATAAATGTTAACTCATTACTGATCATTAAAATGTACTGTGAAGTTATTGCTAAAGAAAAACAATTCTAATGGATCCTTATAGGATGAAATTGAAGAAGATATGAAGAATAAACTGAAATTCAAGGTTCTGAAAGACAATAATAGGACATTATTTTGGCATCTGCGGAAAGAGGGAATAGATTTGTTTTAGGTAATGAAGGAGATTGTCAGGAAAATAAAGTTGATACCATCAAGCTTGTCTTTGAATAGAAAAATAATAGGGAGTTTCTGATTGGGGTTAATTTTTACCTGACCTCTATTTGAATTCTTAATATAACTCATTAGGGTTCAATATAATAGGCTTTAGTTGGTTTGTGCCATTGATAAAATTCATGGATAAGAAATGGAAAGGCTTCTTTTTTTTTTGTATTCATGGAGAGGTTATTCTTCACAGTTAATTTGTTTAGCAGTAGTCAAGGGTTTATGAGGCCCTCTGCTGTATTAAACTTCACTGTTTTAAGTCAGCTTTACTCTTTTTCCTCAAGGGAAATCATTATGGATGAGTTTCTTGTTGAAGTTTTTATAGTCAGCCAAAATATAGTTGAGTAGCAGAAAATCCCCTTGGCATATATTGTTCATGTACTTTGGTAGCATTTATTACCCAGAAATCTAAATCCTTTCAGGGCATGGTAAATGCACTGGAGTTTCAGAATTCTAATTTGCATATCAATAAATTCACTAAAATGCCTTTTAAAAAAGCCTTTAGAATGATTAGACTGTACATAGTTTTGTGCCAATATGCTTACTACAAACCCACCTAAGATTTTCTTTAAAAGATTGTGGTCTAAATTCATTTTTTTTTTATTTTTTTTTAAAATTTTTATTTATTTATGATAGTCACAGAGGGAGAGAGAGAGAGAGGCGCAGAGACATAGGCAGAGGGAGAAGCAGGCTCCATGCACCGGGAGCCCGATGTGGGATTCGATCCTGGGTCTCCAGGATTGCGCCCTGGGCCAAAGGCAGGCGCCAAACCGCTGCGCCACCCAGGGATCCCGTGGTCTAAATTCATAATAATGTTCTCTTCAGACTTTCTTTTAGGTGATGTTTTCCTCCCCCTCCCCCCCTTTTTTTTGGAATTAGATTTGGAATAACTTAATTTTAATTCAGCCCCCAAATTAATGAATATCCGGAAGCTTCTTTATTTTGTGTAATACTTGGGTGCCTGCTAACAGAAATTATTGTGCCAGATGTTAAAGAGGATTCCTATTTTAAAGGAACTTAGACTGGAAGAGGAGGTAAAACATACATATCTAATTATAATACCAAATGGAAGGTTATAAGCATCATGAAGGAGGTTTAGTTAAGGTATTTGGAGATTTGTGGGGTGAGAATGTTACTCTTCCAGCTTAGGGAAGGTGTTGGGCTAGAAGCTTCAATGGGTTGAACATTGGAAAAAGTACCATAAAGAAGATAAAAATCGATGCGAATTTTATTTAAAGATTTATTTATTTATATTATATATAGAGAAAGATAGTGTGCATATGGGAGGGACAGAGGCAGAAAGAGAGGGAGAGAATTTCAGTCAGACTCAGAGCTCAGTCTCAGGACCCTGAGACCATGACATGAGCCAAAACCAAAAGTTGAGTGCTTAATTGAGCTACAAGGTACTCTTGAAGTGAGTTTTAAGTATGAGTATGATTAGTACATGGAAAGAATATGGGTAGGAAGTGTATTTGAGATTCTGCAAACAGTACAGACAATTGAAGATGTGTATCATTGAGGGTTTTATGACTAGTCTAGGGGCATTAGCGTTTTGGGTGGGTTAAGGGTTCTAGAGTAGGTGTGGGGAGTGGTTGTAATGAGATTTGAGATAAGGATGCCTATGTCAAACCAGAGAAGGCCTTTGTATATAGTGTGTTAGGTCATCCGTAATCTAGAGAAGAATTTTTGATGTGAAGGGGAAGATGATATCTGACTTGGATTTTAGAACTATAATTTGGTTCACTTTGAAATAGGTATTAAAGAAGGGAAATTATGGAGGCAAGGCCAATTTGAAGGAGATATATATATTTTTTTTTTGGGGGGGTAAATAAACATAAAGAATTGTCGTTCTTAAAAATAGTAATAATTCATAATCTTCATGTAGTCCCTTACTATTTGTAATGTATTTTCATTTAATCTTTTTCTTTTTTGCTTCATTTCCTTCTCCCCTTTGCACTATTGGCATTCATTTTACTTGAACATATATTAAGACCCCAACAATAAGTTACTATTTTTAGTTTAAATCGCCTGTTAAAATGTTTATTTATTTGTTTGTTTATAAAAGATTTTATTTATTTATTCATGAGCGGGCTTCCCATGGGGGAGCCTGTTGCAGGACTCGATCCCAGGAACCTTGAATCGCACCTTGAGCCGAAGGCAGAGATGCTCAACCACTAAGCCACCCAAGCATCCCCAAAATTTTATGTTTTAAAATATCATGTAGTGAAATTGACTATGGATTTTAATACATGCAAAAATTTATATAATCTCTATTACAATCAGAATATAGATCATTTCCACCCCCCCAAAATTCCTGGTACTTCCTATTCCTTTATAAGTCATAACCTTTCCTTATTGCAACTCCTGTAAGCACTGATTTCTTCTTTCTCACTATAATTTTGTCTTTTTAAAAAAATGTTTGTACTTAAGTATATGTTTGGAAATAGCTGATTGCTTATTGCCTTCTTATTAACTTGAAAGTACAAATTACTCTTGTATTCTAATAATTTTAGTGAATTGTAGAACTGTGTGATAAACTTGTATGAGATTCTAACATAACAGAAGAGTATGTATATACACGCAGATGTATAAAATAGGATAAAATAGAAAATGTTAAAGAAAAAAGTCTCATATTTAGGGAGAAGTATTTTTTTTTTCCTTTTTTTCTTTTCCATCAACATTTTCTTTCATCACTGTCTATATTTCGCTTTTTTTTCCCCTTTCCCACAATCTAGCCAAACTAGTCTTTTTTTTTTTTTTTTTAACCTTTTAGTTATTTCAAGTACCATTGGAAGAGGAAGGACAACGTGGTGGGCCTATCCTTGCACCAGAAGAGATTAAGACTATTTTTGGTAGTATCCCTGATATCTTTGATGTGCACATGAAGATAAAGGTAAATTTGTTTATGTTAGGTTTGTAGTAATTCTTTTTGGATTGTGCTTATATAATATTTTTTTCAGGTACTGTTGATTGGCTAAATGAGTTTTATACCTAAGACTTACTCCCTCGTTTATTCCTTTGAATCATTTATGTCCCTGTGCTCCAATGCCTTATTAAGATTTGTTTGCCTATTTTTTGATTTTTGATTAATCCTGAGAATAAGGAATTAAAACTTATGAAGTCTTTTCTATAGAGACATGTGGTTACTAGTGCTAATTTTCTTACTGTTCCTCTCAGGCTGTATGTTTTGTTTTGCTTTGGACAGTTTGATAAACTTTAAAGCTGGAAGAGACTTAGAGACCATTTTGTTCATTTCTCTATTTCTGGTCAGATAAATATAAAAACCACATAAGACAATCCTATTCTCATTTTAATGATTTTTTTTTTTCCTTTGATGAAGGGTCCCTGATTTATAAATATCAGTCTCTCAGAGTTGGGGCAGGTTTAGCTGAACTCTTAAAAGTAGTTAAGCTTTATTTTCTCTTATTTTCCTATAAGGTGCTTGAGCAAAATTGGTCAATTTTCTCCTCAGAACACCTCATATTAATGTTTAGTCCATATTCCAGTAAAAAGATCAATCTGAATTATAGGATGTTTTCTTTTTCTTTATTTTTTTTAAAAAGATTTTGTTTATTTATTCATGAGAGACACACAGAGAGAGAGAAAGAGAGAGAGGCAGAGGGAGAAGCAGGCTCCATGCAGGGAGCCCAACATGGGACTTGATCCCGGGTCTCCAGGATCAGGCCCTGAGCTGAAGGCAGGCGCCAAACTGCTGAGCCACCCAGGGATCCCCATATAGGATGTTTTTATACAAGTACATTAAGTTACTTTTGATTTTATTGCACATTATAAAAATATTAAAAGATCTACAAGTTTATGAAAATGTAATTTATCATTTGTATTTTGTACCTTATCAAAATGCATAATCATCTTTTAGTTATTTCTAGATCTCAAGGGAACTCTGAAAGAATTTTTATTTTCTTAAAAAGCTACAAAATTTCAGCCTAGTTTATCCTTATTTCCAGGTAGGTTTAATCTAAATATTTGAAAAGTATTCTTGATATATTTTTTCTTTGTAAGAAACACTGAGAGGTGTAAAGGTAGGGTGGGAAGGTAAGTGGGTTTTCATCTTGGTGTTCTAGCACCAACTTATGGATCAACTTGAATTTGTGTCATTTAGTTGGTCTGGTTGTACAAGTACTCTTCAAATATAAAATGTTATACCTGTTATGTGTATAGGATCATAATTTCAATTAAGAATCATGTTCTCTGATTCACTGGAGCTTTGAAAGTGATTGTCACTCTAGTTTGTCATGTGTAATATAATTCTTTAAGCTTTTTCTAGAAAGTTGGATTACCAATATTTCAACTATTAAGTTGTTTTTTAGCTGATTTCAGATTTGTCACACGTTTGAAAATTTCAGAACCTGGGGTGCCTGGGTGGCTCATTTGGTTAAGCATCTGACTCTTGGTGGTCATGCTCAGTTGTGAGATCAAACCTTGAGTCAGGCTCCATGCTCAGAGCAGCCTGCTTGAGATTCTATGCTTCTTCCTCTCCTCCCTAACTCCCCGCCCCCCCATTGCTCACACATTCTCCCAATCTCTCTCTAATAAATAAAGAAAATCTTTAAAAACTTTTTAAAGCCTCTGCTCTTTTTACCATGAAACCAATACATGTCAAACATTTGTAAAAATCAGTAGTAAAGAAAAGAGGAATAGAAAATGCCCATAATCCCATCACCCAAATTAAAACAAAATTGTTTTTGTATTTTCTTCTTTTTTTTTTTTTAATAGTAGTTTTTTTCTCTTGTAAATGTAGCTGGCCATCAAGCATTGCCACATCTATTTGGACAGTATAAGAAGTTGGTATTAAAAAGAAAAAAGTTGGTATTATTGTCTACATTTTACAAATGTGAAACTGCTACACCCAGCAATTAAATAATTTTTCCAAAGTCAAGTCATCTTATAAATGCTGGATCCAGGATTTAAATACCTGTTTATCTGACTTCAAAGTCAATTCTTTTAAACCCTATTGCTAGCTTGCTTTTTTTAAAAACTGAGATACAGTTGATGTAACATTGTATTCATTTTAGCATAGGAGATAATGATTTAATATGTGTATATATTGTGATCACCACAATACATTTAGTTAGCGTCACCACACATAGTTACAAATTTTTTTTTTCTTTGTGATGAGAACTTTTAAGATCTACTCTCTGAGCAACTTCCAAACCTGCAATACAGTATTGTTAACCACAGTTACCATGCTGTGTTACATCCCCATGTCTTACTTATAACTGGAAGTTTGTACCTCTGACCACCTTTGTCTATTTTGCCTTGCCACCCCCACCTCCACTCCCCACCCCCTGGCTCTGTCAACCACTAATAAGTTCTCTGAATCTATGAGTTTGGTTTTACTTATTATACTTAGTTTGGGTTTTTTTTAGATTACACATAAGTGAGATCGCATAGTGTTTGTCTTTCTGACTTACTTCACTTGATATAATGCCCTCAAGGTTTATCTTTGTTGCAGATGGCAGGATTCTTTCTTTCTTTCTTTCTTTCTTTCTTTCTTTCTTTCTTTCTTTCTTTCTTTCTTCTTTCTTTCTTCTCTTTTCTTTCTTTCTTTCTCTCTCTCTCTTCTCTTCTCTCTCTCTCTCTCTTCTTCTTCTTTCTTTCTTCTTCTTTCTTTCTTCTCTTCTTCTTCTTTCTTCTTTCTTCTTTCTTTCGAATTTATTTATCCATGAGAGACACAGGGAGAGGAGAGGCAGACATAGGCAGAGGGAAAAGCAGGTTCTCCATGAGGAGTCTGATGTGGGATTGATCCCAGAACCCTGGGATCACGACTTGAGCCGAAGGCAGACGCTCAAGCACTGAACCACCCAGGTGCCCCAGGATTTTCTTTTTTTATAGTTTAATAATAATCCATTTTCTATACCTACAAATTTTCTTTATCCATTCATCTATTGATGGACACTTAGGTTGTTTTATGTTGCTTCTTGATATACTCTTTTAATATGCAAAGGAACAAATGTGTCCTAAATTTGTACAGTTTTTCATATCTTGTTAACAGTATTCCTGGGAAGCACTGCTGTGTATGTATTTTATGGTATTGCACAGTGGTTACAGGTGTGGGTTGTGGAATAAGGCATAAATGGGTATGAAGTCAGGTGGTTAAGTGCTTCAGTTTTCTTATCTGCAATATGGGATAGTTAGTCTGACATGGAGGCTGTGGAATTTTTATTTTTATTTTTTACATATTCAGAAGACACTAAGCATAGTACTTGACACTATGAGCATTCAATAAATAACAATAGCAATTCACATTAATAATTTAAATTCAGAAGTGAAGTAAACCAATGTTCAGAAGTTTTGTGAAGGAGTAAAACTAGTTTTTACCACTGTGTTTATAGCCATTGTGTCTGGCACTTAGATTTCTGTTAGTAAATGTTTGCTGAATGGTGGTCATGCTGTTTTTAAATGTCCAGATGAGGACTGGAAGTATTTACTTATTTAGTTCTTGGCTCTTTTTTATTTTTTTTTTAAATTTTATTTATTTGTTATAGAGAGAGAGTGCGTGTGAGCACGAGTAAGGGGAGGGACAGAAAGAGAGGGTGAAACAAACTCCCTGCTGAGCAGGGAGCCCAACGTGGGGCTCAGTCCCAGGACCTTGGGACCTGAGCTGAAGGCAGACATGTGACCAGCTGAGCCACTCAGGGGCCCCTGACCTCATTATTAATTTGATTGCAAGGGAATTCACTGATGATATTTAGATTAGGATGAGAATTTTTGAGATTGTTATCAACATCTCTCTTTTCCTATATGTGAATATTTGCTTTTCAGGATTTATCAACATTCATCCTTGATGTACAGATGCCTACTTTTGCATGGAACTATGTTGAAACAAGAGAGAAAGGGATTGGATAGAGTGCTTTTTCTTTGTATGTTTATCCTTTATTAATTTTGTGGAAGTGTGAAGGTACCCTGTGCTTGATTCAGGAACAGGTGTATGTTGGGAAATCTGCTAATTTGGTTTATTGTGCAATGAGCTAGGTAAAAGAGAAATCCATCTTATATAAAAGTAGATAGCAGTACAGAAGAAATCTTAACAAGGAAGAAATGAAGGAGGTAGCTCTTGGGCCCATCTCTTTACTTTCTCTGCTTTTCTAACAGGCTACGGGAGCTCTGCTTTATGTCTTAGAACTGTAGAGTTCTGCTTATGGCCAGGAGGTAAACTTGGGAGAATCCTATGGAGAATTCCTGATGTGTTATGGACAAAGAGAAGGAGATGTATCCCAGGGTCCGTGCTAAATTGAATGAATCATTTTCCCACAGGAGCATAGTAAGAAATGGTGGCACTATGAATAATGCTCTTGGGGGCTTACCTGCCCCTCTGATTCCCCATTTCTAATGGAGAGGAGCTGTGGTATCGATCAAGTGGAATAATGGAATCTGGAGTTAGACTGCTTGAGTTTGAATGGTGGTTCACAGCTGTGTGATTTGAGTCAAATGGCTTGATCTCGCTAAATAGTTTCTGAGGTTACCATTCATGAAGGCAGAAATGCTTAGTCAACAAACATTAGGAATTCAAGGTTCACCAGAAATAGACTGTTTCAGAGTGCCTAGAGATTATATTGCTTTCTGATAGCAATGTTCTTATATATAGAGCCGTTTTAAAGTTTTTTACACTTTGTTTTTAAAAAGATTTTATTTATTTGAGAGAATGTACATGAGTGGGAGGTGGGAGCAGAGGAGAGGTACATGCAGACTCCCTGCTGAGCAGGGAGCCCAAGGTGGGCTCAATCTCAGGACCCCAAGATCATGACCTAAGCCAAAGGCAGACACTTAACTGACTGAGCCACTCAGGCACCCCAGCTTTCTACAATTTATAAAAAGGCCACTAGATCATATTGTCAGAGCTGTAAGTTTTTTCTCTTTTGTATTACAGCTTTATGAATATTTTGTGTACTTTATATTAAATACATAGGTAAATACAGTTAATAATAGCTTACTCAGGACAACAATCTGTTAAGGATTTTTTTTTTTTTAAGATTTTATATTTAAGTAATCTCTACCTAGTGTGGGGCTCGAACTTACAATCCTGAGATGAGGAGTCATATGTTCCACTGATTGAGCCAGCTAGGCACCTCTCAGGATTCTTCTAAATACTGAACAAGTTTTTAATTAATTTAATCCTCTGAGATAGGAATTATTATAATACCTCATTTTTCAGAATAGGAACTTGAGACATGTAGAGGTTAAATAACTTGAACCAAGGACACAGAACAAACCCTAGGAGCATTATTTAAAACTATCTAGTTAGTGTCAGAAGCTACTACATTATATTGCCCCAAGGTTAGTCTTATTTATAAACTTTTTCTTTTGTTTCTTTCAAATGCTGTTTTAGGTTGTTAAGTCTTATTTCTTGATTTTTGGGCTGTTAAAGTACTTTTCTGCTATCAGAAGTAATTTTTCCCCCTTTTAAAAACTTTTCTGAATCTGTTAGTATAGGACAGTGGTTAAACTACTTGGTCTCAGGATCCCTTTTAATTCTTACACTATTGAGGAACTTTTGTTAATATGGGTTTTATCTATTAATATTAGCTATTTGAAATTAAAATGGAAAATTTAAAAATATTTTTCAAGATGCTTCAAATTTTTTAACAGCTTTATTGAGGTACATTATATATGTCCTTAAATTCACCTATTTCAAATATAGTATTCAGTGAGTTAATGACTTTACTAAGTGATGCAACTAATCTAGTTTCTGTCTCTATAAATTTGTGTTTTTTGGACATTTCATACAAATGCAAATATATAGTATATTGTATCTTAATGTCTGACTTACACGTAGCATATTTTTGAATTTCTTGTATGATGCTGCATGTTAGTACTTTGTTCCTTTGTATGGGCAGATAATATTCTATTATTTTGAAGTACAAAAGTTTTTAATTTTGATGAAGTCCAGTTTATCCATTTTTTTCTTTTATGTACTGTGCTTTTGCTTTCATATCTAAGAAATTTTGCCTAACTTAAGGTTTTAAAGATTTTCTTCTATGTTTTCTTCTTAAAGTTGTATTGTTTTAGCTCTATAGTTAGGTCTGTAATCCATTTTGAGTTAATTTTTGGCTAAAGTGACAGCCCATCTTTTTACATGTATATATTCAGTTTACTTTAAAAATTATATCAATAAATTTAAAGTTATAATAACTCATTATATATAAGTAGCACAAATAACATAACATTTATAGAAAATAACTAATTTCCAAAGTAGAAATAGTGAGAAGAGTGACACTGACATTTTTCCTGTCTGGCTTATGAGAAGACTATTTATCATACAGGCTTCTGAATTCAGTCTGTTGCAGTATCACTCGTCATGTAGCCTGTAGGAAACTCTATTGTATTCTTGTGAGAGAATTAAAGTGGGAAGTCAAATAGAGCTTTAGTATTGTAATGAAAATAGTTTTAATCTCATGAATCCCACAAAAAAAGATGTCCTGGGGGGGCCTGTGGTTGACACTTGGAGAACTTTGGTTATAAGAGCTTATGGATTAATTTCTTCTTTAAAGTCACTCTTAGAATTTCAGTTAGGGAATATGTCATTTCTTGGCCTCTCATTTTATCCTCTATTTGAGTTTTATTACCTTATGCTTTTAAATGTCTTCTAAATTTTTATAAATATTTAATATTTTAGGATGACAGTAGAGGAGCTTTATAGATCAGGAATTACAAAACTATGATTGATGGACCAAATCCAGTCAGTTTTGGATTTTGGTAAAGTGTTTTGCTTGTTTTGGTGAAGAAAGCTTTATTGAAACATGGCCACATTGGTTGTTTATGATTTGTCTATGGCTGCTTCAACAGTACAAGGACAGAGTACTTGTAACAGACACCATATGGCCTGCAAGGCTTAAAATATTTACTATCTGACCCTTTAAGTAAATTTTTCTGACCTGTCAGATTATAGTTTCAAATGGCTGATGTTAAATAAGATGCTTTAGCAGCAAGATGGAAAGTAGTTTTCTATAATTAATAATGCCAATCAACTTTATTGTTAATAGGAAAAGATGTTGAGCTGTCATATCAATTTGGAAAGTTAGGCTTAGTCTTACTGACTTGATACTCTTGATATTTTCTTAATTATTTTTCAAAGGATGTTTTCCTGCTAGTCAAGAAGCTAATTCCTTATTGATGTGAAAGAATGTGTTATATTAATTGTTTTGCACAAAAAACTGAGATGCTTTGTAATGTAAGGTGCTACTTTGAATATTTCAAAAATATTGAAGAATGTTTAAGGCACTGCCAAGTTCAAGCTTAAATGTTTCAGTTTGTGCTCTTTCAGGATGATCTGGAAGACCTTATTGTTAATTGGGATGAGAGCAAAAGCATTGGTGACATCTTTCTTAAATATGTAAGTATTTTACTTGTTTTTTAGGCTTTCAGGTTAAAGCATCATCTCATTAAATACTCTCAAGGGAATGACAGGTACTTGTTTAAATGTAAGAGCTTGCTTTCAAAACTTTGACGTAGTTGTGTTTGTAAAATAAATTGGAAGTGTTTTTGTCTTATGAAACATAGAAGTTAACACTTTCTTGATACCCTGAGGTCATTGTTAGGAGCACTGATTGTCATACTATGCTATAATCATTTTATTATGTATCAGGTTATTTGCCCTTCATTAAAGGCTACAGATTAATGATTTTTTAAAAATTTTCTGTAGTTTTCATTTTTTTCTTTATAGTTGGTATCATTTTTGCCGTTACTGTGTCTCCTCTACGTAAAAGCTTCTAACGAAGTGCTATCTCTTTACTAGGGTAGGAACTACATAGCTTAACTTTATCAAATAAATTAATTTTGAAAGAGGTGCAGCGAATAGGGTTTATAAGTGTCTTTTAGTCTCTGAATCTAATTTATAGTTTTCGATGTCTTGAGTTCTGGCAAATAAACTTTTCTTTTCTGAAGCTTCCTTTTAACTTCTATCCCTCACCATATAGTCTTACATGTTTTTTCTGGTTGGTTGAGAATTCCAAAGAAGAAATAATTATCACATTCCTTTTTTTTTTTTTTTTTTAAGTTTCAGAGAGAGAATTTCGTGATTCATCATTTGCATATACAACATCCAGTGTTCATTACTTCAAGTGCCCTTCTTAATGCCCATCACCCAATTACCCACCCCATCCCCCCACATACCTCCCCTCCAGCAAACATCAGTGTGTTTCCTAGAGTTAAGAGTGTCTTATGGTTTGTCTCCCTCTCTGATTTCATTTCATTTTATTTTTTCTTCCCTTCCTCTATGTTCATCTGTTTTGTTTCTTAAATTTCACGAGTGAAATCATATGATGTCTTTTCTTGACCGACTTATTTTGCTTAGCATAATACCCTTTAGTTCCATCCACATCATTGCAAATGGCAAGATTTCATTTTTTTGATAGCTGAGTAATATTCCATTGTATATATATTACCACCTCTTAATCCATTCATCTGTCAATGGACATCTGGGCTCTTTGCATATTTTGACTATTATGCCAGATATCTTTTTGATATCTGTTAGTCTTCTCAATTAGCCAAGATGTTTTTCCTTTTTTTGTTGCTTTTTTGGGTAATATTATTTCATCTATTAAATGATGGCTTGGATTCATCAATAAATAGCATGTTCTTGGATACTAATTACTATATTCTGAACTTAATAGAAATTTTTAAACTAGGTCATGTTTATGTCAATACAATAAGCATTAGTATACTTTCGTTTTTTAGTCTTCATTTGCTTTTCAAGTTTTAGGCTATGTGTACCAGTTGATGCATTTTGGTTAGCAGTTAACTCATTAATGAGTAATTCATAAAATTTCTATATTTAACTTGAGAAGAAACTTATTTTAAATTTTTTATTTTGCATCCAATGAATCAGATTTTGACTATTATTTGGCTTTAAATTTCATTATCTAAGGGTAACATATATAACAAATTAATGTGGTTTTTTTTCCTTCTTCCTAGTCAAAAGATTTGGTAAAAACGTACCCTCCCTTTGTAAACTTCTTTGAAATGAGCAAGGAAACGATTATTAAATGTGAAAAACAGAAACCAAGATTTCATGCTTTTCTGAAGGTAACTTATATTTCTTGAAAATAAAACTGTGAGAATAATTTCTGAAGGAGTGCGTTTAAATCATACTTTTAGTAAATATTAACCATGTAAGAACACCTGAGTGTTTAACCTTTTAACTTTAGGAAGACCTGAGAGTGGCAGTGATATTAGGCTTCAGAAGATTTAGATAGTAACAGAGGCCATGGGGGAGCTGAGTAGTGAGAATATTGTCTGTAGGTACTTATATTTTTTTAAGTTATGTATGGTTTAGTTCTCAGACATTTTTCAATGTGATTTGCTTTTGCCTCTAAGTGCTTTATTTTGTTTACTCAATAGTATCCGCATAATTAATACTTCAAAAACCGTTTTTTTTTTTTTTTTTTTTTTTTTGTGAATGGTGTAGACCTAAGTGAAATTTAGGATAGACTTTATAGAAATGTGCAGAGAAACTCACTTTGTGTTTAAGATGTTAATCTTTGAGTAGCCAAGAGTTCATTTCAGGCCCTGGAAGATTATTCAACCACAGTAATCTTCTAGAGAATCACTGCCACCCCATCTCTTCTATTAGTTCTTTTCAGGGCACTAGTGATGAGGTGCAATCTAATAAATGTAAGGTGTTTAATTTTTGCAGGAAACCTTTTTTTAATTGTGAAATTCCTTTCAGATAAACCAAGCTAAACCAGAATGTGGACGGCAAAGCCTTGTTGAACTTCTCATTCGACCAGTACAGAGGTTACCCAGTGTTGCATTACTTTTAAATGGTACTTGTCTGATCTGTTTTCAGACTATTTTGGATGTTTTTTAAGAAACTGTTTTGCTCTAACAATTTTGAAATTCTTTTCATTTTATAATTTTCTTAGATTTCAGCATTAAAGTTTATGTCTTATATAGAAAATATCTTTATGGATAATCTTAAAATCACAGGTAATTCAGTCTCCTGCAATGCCTTATTTGTTACCGTATCAATTACATTGACTATTTTAGTTTTTGTTTCTCTACAGAAACAAAACTCTCTTATATTTCATGGCGTGTCACTAATTCAGAATCAATTTACATCTGTGTAAGTAAAATTCACCCATAAAATCACAAGCAAGAGATAATTCATGTCTCAAATTATTTAGTTCTTCTCTGAACCTTAAGTTCTGTATACTTAGTCTAATGCTTAACCTTTTTCTTAGATTGTACAGAACACTCTTGAAGCCTGCATCCATTTAATCTAGAGCTTAAACAGAGTCAAAATTTTTTTTTTACAAAGTTTTTTTCAAGATTTTTACTTATTTATTCATGAGAGACAGAGAGCCAGAGACATAGGCAGAGGGAGAATCAAGCTCTCTGCAGGGAGCCTGATGTAGGATTTGATTCCAGGACCCTGGGATCGTAACCTGAACCAAAGGCAGATGCTCAACCTCTGAGCCCCCAGGCATCCCTACAGAGTTAACTTTTTTTTTTTTTTTTTTTTAAAGAAAAGGTAAGGAAAGCTTTTCTTTAAAAAAAGATTTTATTTATTCTTGAGAGTCAGAGAGAGAGGGAGGGAGAGAGAGGCAGAGACACAGGCAGAGGGAAGCAGGATCATGAGGGACTCTAGGATCACGCCCTGGGCTGAAGGTGGCGGCACTAAACCGCTGAGCCACCCGGGCTGCCCCAGAGTTAATTTTTATGAATAAATTTTGCTTATAGCAAAAGAAAAGCTTATATATATGCCTTTACATTTAGCTGACTAAAGTATTGAATATTTTTAGGATACGGTCAGTTTTTATATTTTTAAAATTAAGTATGAAAACTAAATTACAAACTGAATTAAGCACATTAGTATGGATAGCCGATAAGGAGGCTAATTTTGTGACTGTTTAATCATTTCCTTTTTAAAATATTTTAGGTACAGTGCCTGGGTGGCTCAGTTGGTTAAGCACCTGCCTTTGGCTCAGGTCAAGAACCCAGGGTCCTGGGATTGAGTCCCGGATCAGGCTCCCTGCTTAGTGGCGAGACTTCTCCCTCTACCCACCTACCTGCTTGTGATCTCTCTCTCATCTCTCTCTTTTTCACTCTCTCAAATAAATAAATAAAATCCTTAAAACAATATTTTGGGTAGTATATGAATTATAGTAGTAATTTTAAAAATTGATCATTTTCTTTTAAAGGTCTTTAAATCTAGTTTAGAATAGTTTATAAGATGATTTCCCCCATCTTTAAAAGCTGTCCTGCTTTTTTAAATTCTAAGGAAAATATATGGACAAAGCAGTGTGATTTAGCTTTACAAAGCAGTGTGTTTTTTTTTTTTTGGATTATTTGCTTATCTTCATTATTTTTCATTATGTACATGTAGAAATCCATCAAATAGTTTCTAAGCCTTTCTCCTATCATTCCAACTTAAAAGATTGTGTGGGTATGGTACTAGGGAACCATCAGATGGGACATGGCATAGGGAACTTAACCTAGATAAGAATCAAAACATCAGCATGTCATGAGCCTCTGAGTTAAACAAAACCTGCTTTCAAGGTTACTGAATGCTCTCTGTGATAGAGCCATGGGCTCCAACATGAAATATAACATATAATGACTTCTCAGCACTATGGAGAGAGTTTGAGGAGCCTAGGTGTCCCCAAACTTTACTAATAGGGAATTGATACAGCAGTGTAAGAAAATCTGTACATATTCTGGAAATTTAGCCAATAAAAAATGTGGAAGAAAAAAATCTGTGAACAAATGTGTAAGAAGAGAGTTCCTAAGGGAACATTGCATAAAACCTTTTTTGAAGTAAAGCTTAGATAATATCTTTAAAAATTAACCAGCCTATATCAAAATGGACAGTATTTTTTTTTTTAAAGATTTATTTGAGAGAGAGAGAGAGCATGTGCACATAGTAGGGGGAGGGGCCAAAGGAGAGGGACAAGCATATGGGTCCCCACTGAGCTCACTGACATGGGGCTGTATCCTAGGACCCTGAGATCATGACCTGACCAAATCAAGCACTTAACTGAGACACCCAGGTGCCCCGGGATGGAGGGCATTTTGAAGTCTTAGATAAAAAAAAACTATTTTTTTTTTTTTTTTTTACTATTTTTCTAGTCTTTTTTAAATTCTAAGGAAAATATATGGACAAAGCAGTATGATTTAACTTTACAAAGCAGGGTGGTGGGTTTCTTTCTTTCTTTTTTTTTTTTTTGGATTTTTCCTCATAAAAAAACTCATAACATTTTATCATAACAGATCTTAGGAAGCATACAGCAGAAGAAAATCCCGACAAAAGCACTCTAGAAAAAGCTATTGGATCACTAAAGGAAGTAATGACGTAAGTGCATTATTTCAATTTCTTATTGTTTCTGAGATTAAAATGGAATTGTAGAACAATTAGAATCATGAATGGAGAGAAAAACATCAATAGCAAGTTTTTATAAAGTGATGTCTAAATTATTTTTCTAATGGTGTAGAAAATGATGAGAGAGAAGTATTGTAAGAATACATTGATTAATAGAAAACATTTATTTCTGAAGGTATTAAACTATTCTGCATAGAAAGTAACAATGATTTAAAAATTTGATAATGTGTGGGGCAGCCCAGGTGGCTCAGCGGTTTAGTACCACCTTCAGCGCAGGGCGTGATCCTGGAGACCCAGGATCGAGTCCCACGTCAGGCTCTCTGCATGGAGCCTGCTTCTCCCTCTGCCTGTGTCTTTGTCTCTCTCTCTCTCTCTCTCTCTCTGTCTCTCATGAATAAATAAATAAAATCTTTAATAAAAAAAAAAGAAATTTGATAATGTTATGAATGCACTTCTGGACATTTTCTTCATATACTTTCAAGTCTTAGCATATTCTTGTCTTCGTTTAAACTACCCAAATGTAACTCAGGAAGTTGACTGTGGTGAAATAAAAAGAAAATATTCATAATACTTTATAAGACTTCTTTTGACTTTTACTTTTAACTTCTTATTTCTTACCTTGAATTTAATGGAATATAAATTGATAGGGTTGGTTGTAGATGTACTAAAAGTATAAACTGTGGAATTGACTTGGATGCTTGATTGTTAAATTTAGGCTAATTACTGTAGGTCTAACTTGGAGACATAGCTCTAATCAGAGATGCTCTTTCTTTTTTTAATTTAAGTTTAGTTAATTAACATAGTGTATTATTAGTTTCAGAGGTAGAGTTGTTCAGTGATTCATCAGTCTTATATAACACCCAGTGCTCATTACTTTGCGTGCCCTTCTTAATGCCCATCACTCAGTTACCCTGTCCCCACACCCCAAACTCCTTTAACAACCCTCAGTTTATTTATTTTTGTTTGTTTGTTTTCAGTTTGTTTATTTTTAAGAATCTGTTATGATATGTCTTCCTCTCTGATTTCGTCTAGTTTTTTTCTTCCCTTCCCTATGTTCCTCTGTTTGTTTGTTTGTTTCTTTCTCTCTCTCTCTCTCTCTCTCTCTTTTTTAAGATTTTACTTATTTATTCATGAGAAACACAGAGAGAGAGGCAGAGACACAGGCAGAGGGTGAAGCAGGCTCCACGCAGGGAGCCCAACTTGGGACTTGATCCTGGGTCTTCAAGATCACGCCCTGGGCTGAAGGTGGCACTAAACCGCTGGGCCACCAGGGCTGCCCCTCTGTTTTGTTTCTTAAATTCCAAATATGAGTGAATTATGTAATTGTCCTTTTTTTCTGATTGACTTATTTTACTTAGCATGATACCCTGTAGTTCTGTGCATGTTGTTGCAAGTGGCCAGATTTTTTTTCTGATGGCTGAGTAATAGTCCATTGTGCGTGCGTGTGTGTGTGTGTGTATGTATATGTGTGTGTGTGTATTTATATATACACATATGTATATATATAATCTACATATACATATACATACACACCATATCTTCTTAGGGGGTATGCCCCATGTTGAGTGTAGAGATTATTTAAAATAAATAGGTAAATACACTTAAAAATGATCATTCTTGGGGATCCCTGGGTGGCTTAGCGGTTTGGCGCCTGCCTTTGGCCCAGGGCACGATCCTGGAGTCCTAGGATCAAGTCCCGCGTCGGGCTCCCGGCGTGGAGCCTGCTTCTCCCTCTGCCTGTGTCTCTGCCTCTCTCTCTCTCTCTCTTTCTGCCTCTCTCTCTCTCTCTCTCTGTCTATTGTGAGTAAATAAATAAATCTTTTAAAAAATGATCTTTCTTGATTATAATCAGAAATAAAGGCTGTTGTATTAATTGTTTTGCCTTATAGAGCATGAGGGCACTTCAACTCTTTGGAATTTATGTCCTCACCATGTTTAATAGATTTAGTTAAATGACTTCTGAGATTCCCTGATGTGCTTCTATATGAAACAGAGTTTCTTAAAGTACTTGAAAAGGAGCTCTTAGAGCCTTTGCTAGCTCTAGAGAGAAGGTCTGGCAGTAGAATTATGCTCAAGTTAGTGAATACCAGCCTCTGTTGCTGCTGAAAGGGCTACGCATATTTTGTATTTTATTTTGTATTTTATTTTGCTTATGTTTGTATTTTATATGCCAATCAGCTAGCCTTTATGCTTTTGCTTTGTTATTTTGGGACCAAGGATAATAATAATAGTTTTTTTCAACACTTCAAGGTTTAACATACTCTGCACATAATTTAATTTGAACCTTTCAACAAACTATGAAGTAGATGGTCGGCATCAACTTATTTTTACAGAAGAGAAAGCTGAAAGATTATTACTTTTTTTTTTTTGAATAACACTTTTATTCTGTATTGACAAGTCAGACTGGGGTGACTGCAGAATGTAGGTCACCTATAAAATCCCACTTCCTAAGAAGACTTCTGAAATACAAAGTAGAAGAAAAATTCTCTTCTGTGTTGACAATCGCACTTAATTGCACATTTTTTCTGACAGCTTCACTTTTACATGGAATTTTTGAACTTTTATTTTATTTTATTTTATTTTATTTGTATTTTTATAAATTTGAAAGATTATTACTTGTTCAATTTACCTATTTGGTGTGTAGAGTACTTTGCCAGTGTTATTTTGATGGTAGCTTTTAGTATTTGTTATTTATGTATAATATGTATTGTGAACAAAGATAGAGTAACCCAAATAGGGAATAGTCATTTGACCTGTTGTTTCCCTTAGAATAGTATCAATTGGCTGCTATAGAGATAATGAGCCATGCTGATAAGATAGGTGATTAAATATTTCTTTCTTTTTCAACATTATTTAAGCTTTGTGGGAATTTAAGAATCTAATATATCCTTATCCTCAATGCTGTGCTCATAATAGGTCTTCAATAAATGTTGAGTTGTAGGAGCTCCTATTTCAATGTTGAATTGTGATGCTGATTTATAAACCTAATAGAGTTTGACCACATCTGAGTTCTTGAGATTTTTTAATATTTAGCCTAGGTTTTAAATGCTTATTACGGCTGGTTAAAACAACTATAATTTTTTTAGGTAAAGGAAATAAAGAGATAGTGCCAATTAACTAGTCTTTGCCATTTAAGCAAACCAAAACCCCCTAAAAAGAGATTCTTACAATGTTAGTTATACATGTGTAGTGTATACAGACTTAATTTGTTATAGATCTATGCTCTAGTAGCTTTAGTATATATGTGTTTTATGGTTTCTGGTTTTTTTTTTTTTTTAAACTATAGGTGCTTCAAATGTAGTTTGAATAATTTTGGCATATATATATAGATATATACACACACACACACACACACACACACATACTCCTGAAACCACCATCACTAACTGCCATCAAGATAAGGAACATTTTGCTTCCAAAACTTTACTCAATGCCTTTTGGTAATCTCTTTTCCTGCCTCTCTCCCAATCTGCCATCCCAGGGCAACACTGCTGTTTTTATCAGTTTACTTTGCATCTTCTAGGATTTTTTTTGGTTTTTTAAAGATTTTATTTATTAATGAGAGATACAGAGAGAGAGGCAGAGATAGAGAAGTAGGCTCCATGCAGGGAGCCTGACGTGGGACTTGATCCCAGGTCTCCGCCTGAGTGTAGGATCACACCCTGGGCAAAAGGCAGGTGCCAAACCACTGAGCCACCCAGGCATCTCTAGGATTTTATTTAAATAGAAGTAGACAGTATATTGTCTTTTATCAGTCTTCTTTCACACAGCATGATTATTTTGAGATTAGTCCTTACTGTTGCTTTTATCAGTAGTGCTTTTTTCCCTATTATTATTTTCTGTGAACAAGTCTTTGTATGAATATATGCTTTCCATACCTAGTGGTAAGAATAGCTGGGTCATATAGTAGGTGTATGTATAGCTTTTAAAAAATTGCCAAACTGTTTCTAAAGTAGTTGTTCTATTTTACCTTGCTACCAATGGTATATTTGAGTTTCAGTGTTTCCTTGTCTGATAGGTGATTTGCAAATATTTTCTTATACTCTGTAGCTTGTTTTTTTCTCTTAACAGAAAAAACAGGATTTCTAGATTTTTGTGAAGTCTGAATTTATCAGTTTTCATGGGTGGTTATTTTATCAAAAAAATTTTGGTCTAACCCAAAGTCACAAAGGTACTTTTTTTTTTTTTCCTGTTTAAGAAGTTCTTGTGGTTTTAGTCATTAGGTAAAAATCAGTTAAGTCTATGATCCACTTTGAGTTAATTTTTGTGTAAGGGCCAAGGTATGCATTGATGTTCATTTTTTTATGTGGAAATCTGTCTAGTATTTATTTGTTGAAAAGACCATCGTTTCTCTACTGAATTGCTTTTGCATCTTTGCAAAAGATGTGAGGACTTATTTCTGGACTCTTAATTCTATTTCATTGATCCATACATCTATGATTATGCTAGTACCACACAGTCTTGATTACTGTGCTTTGTGTATTAAGTTTTAAAATGGGGAAATAATCTTCCAACTTTATCCTTTTCAAGATTGTTTTGACCATTGTGGATTCCTTGAATTTGCATTTGGCTTTGAGAATTGGCTTGTCAGTTTCTGAGGGTGGCCAGGGGTGAGGAAACGTGAACAGTGGGGAATTTGATAGAGATTTTGTTTTTCTTTCAACAATGTTTTAGAGTTTTCATTCTAGAAATGTCATACTTATGTGAAATTTATTCCTAAGAACTTTATTCCTTTTGATGTTTTAGTAAATGGAATTGCTTTCTTAATTTTATTTTCAGATTGTATAATGTATAGAAAGGCAATAGAGTTTTATATATTGATCCTCTACTCTGCAACCTTGATGAATGTGTTTTAGTTCTAATAATTTTTTAGTGCATTCCTTAAGATTTTCTGTGAATAAAATCATGTCATCTGCAAATAAAGATAGTTCTTTTTTCCCTTTCCAGTCTGGATGCCTTTTATTTCATTTTCTTGACTAATTACCTTGGTCAGAAGCTCCACTACAATGTTAAATGGAAGTGGTGAGAGTGACCATATTGTTCTTGTCCTGTTAGTGATTTTAGCGGGAAAGCATTCAGTTCACTGTTGAGTATGATTGTAGCTTTGGGACTTTTATAGATTCCCTTTATTAGTTTGAGAAAGTCCTTATTTATTTCTAGTTTGTTGAGTGTTCTTTACCATGAAAGGGCATTGGATTTTGTCATATGCCTTTTTTGTGTCCATTTAAGTGATCATGTAGTATTTGTCCTTTATTCTATTGGTGTGGTATATTACATTTATTGATTTTTGTTTGTTTACTCAAGCTTATATACCTGGGATAAGATCTTACTTGGTTAATGGTGCATAATCCTTTTTATGTGTTCCTGGATTTGTTTTGCTAGTATTTGGTTGAGGGTTTTGGTGTCTATATTCATAAAGGACATTGATAAAAAATTTTCTGGTGATGTCATCTTCTAGTTTAGATTACATTGGAAAGTATTTCTTTCTCTTCTGTTTTTTGAAAGAACTTGGGAAAAATTGGTACTAGTTCTTAGGTGTTTGGTAGAATTCATCAGCGAAGCCATTTGGGCTTTAAAAATACTAATTGAATTTACTGTTATGGATCTATTCAGACTTTTTATTTCTTGAATCAGTTTCAATAGTTTGTGTCTTTGTAGGAATTTCTCCATTGTGTCTAAGCTGTCTAATTTGTTGGCATGCAGTTGTCCATTGTTCTCATAATCCTTTTTATTTCTGTAAGGTTGGTAGCGATGTCCCATCATTTATTTATTCCTGATTTTAGTAATTTTTGCCTTTTTTTTCCCTTGGCCAGTCTAGCTAAAGGATTATCAATATTGTTAATCTTTTCAAAGAACCCGTTAATTTTGTTGATTTTTCTGTTAGTTTTTATATTCTCTATTTTAATAATTTCTACTCTATGATTTCTTTCTTTCTGCTTGGTTTAGATTTACTTTTTTTTTTTCCCTTGGTGTCTTAAATCAATTACCTAACATGTTTAGGTAATTGATTTAAGATATTTCTTATTATATGGATTTATAGCTATAAATGTATAGGGTACTGCTTTAGTTGTATACCATAAATTTTATATGTTATGTTTTTGTTTTTTCTCAAAATATTTTCTAATTTCCTTTTGATTTCTATTTGGGCCATTGGTTATTTCAGAGTGTTTTGTTTAATTCCCACATACTTGTGATTTTCCAAAGTTTCCTTTTGTTATTTCTAATTTTACTCCATTGTTGTGGGAGAAGATATTTTGTAATATTTCAGTCCTTTCAGAATTTTTGAGGTCTGTTTTATGGCTTAACCTGGAAAATGGCCCAAATACACTTGAGAAGAAGGTGTATTTTGCTGTTGTTTGGTAGAGTATTTCTGTCATTTAACTTTCAGCCTATTTAGGTCTTTGAATCTAAAGTGTGTGTCTCTTATAGACAGCATAAAGTTGGGCTTGCCTTATTTGTCTCCTGTCTCATAAATTGACTTCCCAGTGTCTTGACAACTAAGTTTGTTTGTTTGTTTCTCTTGCTCTCTCTTTTTCTTTTTTTAAAAGAGAGAGAGAGAGAGAGGGAGAGAGCACCCTACTCATGGTGGGGAGGAGGTGGCTGGGGCACAGGGAGAGGGAGGGAGAATCCCAAGCAGACTCCATAACCAGCACAGAGTAGAGCCAGGCTTGATCGAAGGACCCTGAGATCATGACCTGAGCCAAAATCAAGAGTCAGATGTTTAACCAACTGAGCATCCCAGGCACCCCAGACTTGTTTCTTTAGATTTTGAATGGTTTTTCACTGGTTCCAGGAAGAAGGTGTATCCTTTCCTTCCTATTTCATCTGGTATGGAAGCAGTAGTCTTAGTTTTTGTTTCAATGAAATGATTAGCATGTGACTTGGGAATGACCTTCATAAAAGCTTAAATGAACTTATATTTAGAACTTCTGTTAACCTGAAGTTTGTAAAGGTTTAAACATATTTTAGGAAGTATATAGCGAGTATAGTAAAAAAATAATAATAATATGGAAATAAATTAGTAAAACATAATTTTCTGAAGGATTCTGTGAAACTTTATTTTTTTTTAAGATTTTCTTTTTTCACGAGAGAGACAGAGAGAGAGAAGCAGAGACACAGGCAGAGGAAGGAGGAGGCTCCCTGCGGGGAGCCCGATGTGTGGGACTCGATCCCAGGACTCCAGGATCACAGCCTGAGCCAAAGGCAGACACTCAACCACTGAGCCACCCAGGCATCCCTGTGAAACTTTTTAATATATATAGTAGGCTACTTTTAGGAAGTATTTTAACTGATTTTAGGATTTTAAGAAGTATTTTAACTGATTGAGTTGTCATAATTAAGATAGACCACTTGCAAGATCTCTTTTAGTGACATGATATCTTTATATGCAGTTTTCATATTTTATTGTTTTAAAAGTTGAAGTTTTAAAACTAAACTTTTTAATCTTTCAGCCATATTAATGAGGATAAGAGAAAAACAGAAGCCCAAAAGCAAATTTTTGATGTTGTTTATGAAGTAGATGGATGCCCAGTAAGTATTCATTTTTGATGATTGTCAATTTATTTTCTTCTTAATTAGGTTCTATAGCTTTAATATGAACAGAAGCTTAGCACCTTTTTCTTTTCTTTTTTTAAAATTTATTCTAGAGGTTGGGAGGGAGGGGAAGAGAGAGAGAGAGAAAGAATCTCAAGCAGCTTCCACATTGAGCACAGAGCCCAAATGGGTACTGATCCCTGAGATAATGACCTGAGCCAAAATCAAGAGCCAGATATTTTACCAATTGAGCCTCCCAGGTGCCCTGACACCATTTTCTTTTAAATTATAACTTTAAAAAGATTACTAACAAGTGATTACTTTTATAATATTTTAAATCTATACAGGCTAATCTTTTGTCTTCTCACCGAAGTTTAGTCCAACGAGTTGAAACAATTTCTCTAGGTGAACATCCCTGTGACAGAGGAGAACAAGTAACTCTCTTTCTCTTCAATGACTGCCTGGAGGTAAATTTGTACTTAATATAGTATAATAACACTGGTGATTTGTGTGACCTGCCTGAACATTTAAAGCCAAGCCTTGATTGAGGTATAATACACAAGTTAAAGTTAATTTAATCACTTTTTGAGACCACTTGTTTAATACTATTAATAAAATGGTTTTAAAGAGAAGGCCTAATACTAAAAAGTATGATAAATTTTCATGACTTAAAAGCCAAGTCATAATGAAAATCTAGTTTATTTCCATGCTAATAAATGCTTTGGTCAGAAATTTTAGGAGTTTACTGTTTCTGTGTATGTTTGTTCAGGACCTACAAAATAATTTGAAATTGAAATAGATTTTTCAAGTATTTTGTTGAAGATTAGAATAACTTGATTATTTACTATGAATTACAATTCACCGATTTTTCGTTAAAACAGCAGGTTTAGGGTGAATGAGTAGTTAGTATATCAGAGGGGTGCAATGATTATAATTCTAAAATTCTCATCTATTAAAACATTTCCTCCATATCAATTCTGTGGGCAAATGGAATCACCTTCGTGTGCTTTTCCAACCTTTTTCTTAATAGTGTATTTTTTAAACAACTAAACAGTCAAATGGGAGATACAAAGATGTGTATTTTCCTTCATCTCAGAAGAGAAAACTGTGTATTTTGATAAAACAAATATATTAACCAAAAGACTCCTTTGACATTTCTATTTCTTGCTGTTGCTTTCATTGAATTGATTTGATGGGTTTCCTTTTTCTTTAAAATCTGTACCTCTTTTATCGTTTTTTACTTCTCTTGACATGCTGCACTCTTGGTTACATTATTATTTAAAGTATAAAATACAAGAGAATTTTAGAGAAAACCACCATGTGCAGTTACAGGTATAATAAAATCTCACCAAAGCTTGACTTGTGTTAAATGTAGAGTTTTGTTGTAGTGGGGTTAATAAAAAATGATATTTTTATTGGTCAATAATGTCACAAAACACAAAAGACAGTGAAAATACTATACGTAATTGACCATACCCTGAAGTGAAAAAGTCATAAAAAATCATGAGGCAGATAATTCTGAACTACTTTGTTACCCCATAAAGAGAACGTCAGCCTGCTTTGCTTTGGAGAACAGGGGCAAGGTGAAGTCAGTTTCCAGTGGGGTTTCACTGTACATAGTTGCTCAGTACTTCTATTTATTTGCTTCTCTTAAAGCCTTTTTAAGGTTTTCCCTATTGAAGTGCCCAGGTCAGCTGGCTCCACTGTCTATACTTCCTGCTAATCCATTCTTTTGGGTTTTATCTTCTTAATCCTGAGAGAGTGTGGCTTACTTTAAATTTTTGATCATATATCTTTTTTTAAAATTCCATGAAGTTTTCTATAACTTGCTCGTTGACCTACCTACCACTTTAATTCCTGCCATTGGTTATTGTCTGTAGCTTCTGAGTCCATTATGTGATACCCTGGTTCTTCATCTCCTTTACCTTAAATCCACTAACTTTTTGTTCTAGTTTATTTTAGCTGCCTATGTTAGAATCATATTGACTAAAACAGTTCTATATTCCACATTCAATTTGAACTTTTAGATTTATAATTCTAAACTTTTATTCTTCAGCTTTTTTTTTAAACCTTAGCAAATTTGGAATGAAGAATATGGTGAAAGTTAGAAACATTTAAAATGGATAAAATCTATATTGACTTCTCTTAAATTTGACTCTTGATGTTTTACTGAAGCTGAACTAATTGAGGATTCACAGACATATTTTCCTTTTTATATTTTATCTGTGTTTTGAGTTTGTATCTTGATGTGTTAGCATTTATGTCATCAGTATTGGCACTTGTCATTGTTTTTTCTTTTTAAAAATGAACTTTAAAATTATTTGCTTAGCCAAATTGATTTAAAAGTATATTCAAATTTATAGTGGAAATTATTTAAAGAAAGTCTTTTGCTTATTTTTCCTGTATTAATGTAAACTAACTTTTAATATTTGATATGTAGCAGATCTGTATCATATTTCTGCTTCAGTGTGAATATGATTGACTGCCATTTGATCATTTCTTTTTTTTTTTTTTAAAGATTTTATTTATTAATTCATGATAGACAGACATACAGGCAGAGGGAGAAGCAGGCTCCATGCAGAGAGCCCGATGCGGGACTTGATCCCGGGACTCCAGGATCACGCCCTGGGCCAAAGGCAGGCACTGAACCGCTGAGCCACCCAGGGATCCCCATTTGATCATTTCTGATTAGCCAACATAGGGTAGTGCATTTTTAGCTAAACTTTGTCACATTCATGATGCTGACCAGTCTCAAATTCATTAAGTAACTTATCCTAAATCATTTTGTGTTAATATCTTTAATTGATGATTATAACCTCAGAAAAAGATGTTCTTTTAAAATGGCAAAACAATACAGTAGGCTTTCATGGAAATGAAAATAATAAGTTTAAAGACCTTATAAAATTCACAGAATTCAGTACATTATGAATCACAAGGTCCTTTGTGATTTTGCTCTTGTCTTCCCCAGACTTACTTTACCCCTCTCTTCCTCTTGCAAGAGTTCCCAGTTTAGGTAAAATTACATCTTAACACTGTAAAACCTTGAGTTTTTAATTTGTATCATTTGCTTAATGTATTGTTCAGTTAGTTACTTCCCCTTCCTCTTTCTCAATGGTATGTAAATACGAGAACCAGAGCCATTTCTGTGTTACTTACTTTATTGCCCTCATTGTCTTGTACAGGGTCTGAGTTCATTGAGAACTCTGCTCTTAAATCAATTATCTTTTGATCCCAATACTGAGATCCCAGACCAACATTCCTGAACTCAAGGCTTTTTGTCGAAGATTCCTCTGTTCTTCAGTGCTATTCCTTTTCAGATGTTTCTAAGTTCTTTCATACTTCTGGGACCTTTTGCATAGATCTTTTCCTTTGGTCTGTTTTTCCTGACTTTTAGGCTCTTAAATATATGAGCATTTCTGCTACACAATTACATGGATGTATGAATTTGTCACATGGTAACTCTGCTTATCATAGTAATTCTAGAGTGACAAATAGATGAATTGCATGTAGGTTTATATGATTAATATCATTTTTAAGTATTTGGCCTTTAATTGTTTCCATATGAATTTTTTTTTTTTTTTTTTTTTGTAATCAGATAGCAAGAAAACGACACAAGGTTATTGGCACTTTTAGGAGTCCTCCTGGCCACACCCGACCCCCAGCTTCTCTTAAGCATGTTCATCTAATGCCTCTTTCTCAAATTAAGAAGGTGCTGGACATAAGAGAAACAGAAGGTATGCTCACTGGATAAATTGTTAGCCAAGTGAAAATAGTTTATATTCATTTTAGGTTTGATTCATTCTCATGTTTTTATTTTTGTTTTTATTTTAAACTGGTAAATTATCTTTTTAATTTTAAAAATTTATTAGGGAGAGGGAGAGAGAGAGAACGAGTGAGCGCATGTGTGAACGGGGGAGGGGCAGCGGGAGAAGGTGAGAATCTCAAGTAGACTTTCCACTGAGCGTGGAGCCTGATGCAGAACTCAATCTCATGACCCTGAGAGCATGACCTGAGCTTAAATCAAGAGTGGGACGCTTAACCAACTGAGCCACCCAGATATCTCTAAACTGATAAATTATCTTTAAATATAGTTGGTTAGTTTTGGTAAAGTAATTTTTCTTCTATTTCCATCCCAGCTCTTCTCTAGGAACTTACTTGGTATCTTATTTTCTCAAATGAAAATGCTATCTCAACCTGTGGGATTTCTTCATCCCTAAGGAACAAAGAGCTTTTAAATGGTTAAATGTTAAGATAGTGCCCTAACCTAGCCTCTTCCACAACAAAACTTACCTTTATTACTTCAGAATCAAAAAGAAATCACCGGTCTATCATATGTGCTCTGCATCTTATTCTTTCCTTGTTGTCAATGGCTTCATTGCTAGGAATATGTTTAGGATATGACCTGGAAAGAAGTACATGAATAAATGTACACAAAGTAACTATGGTAGAATTAGCATGAGTCAGATGATTATTAAGGAGGGTTTTTACTCAACTTTGATAGTGTTAGGGAAGGTTCTCTGAAGGCCTAAAATTACCAAAATTTTATACCTACCAAAAAAAGTATCATCTAGGGATATGTGTACATGGCCATACTTTTAGGTTTTAGACATACATTTTTACAGTGTAAGCTGGTTCCATTACTGATCCCATCCTCTCATGATGGAAGACTTTGATTTTATTAGAAACAAAACTTGAGTAGCAGCTTATGTTGCTATCTTTATTAGGTTGTCAGATTCTGGATCTGTTAAGGGTTATAATAGTGCATTTATTTAAGTCCTCTCCATATTTTTAGATTTGAATTATAGATTATAATTATTGTTTAAAATAGGTTCTGTTTTAGCATTTTGGTCCAAAAACACTTTTTAACAGTTTTGATATTCGGACACTTTATTTCTTTAATTTAAATTAGTCTTGTAATGCCATTTTAATTTAAAACTTAAATTCTGGAATTATAAGAAATTGTATAATTAATTAAAAAAAAAACTATCATAGGGGATCCCTGGGTGGCGCAGCGGTTTGGCGCCTGCCTTTGGCCCAGGGCGCGATCCTGGAGACCCGGGATCAAATCCCACGTCGGGCTCCTGGTGCATGGAGCCTGCTTCTCCCTCTGCCTGTGTCTCTGCCTCTCTTTCTCTCTGTATGACTATCGTAAAAAAAAAAAAAAAAAAAAAAAAAAAATTTAAGAAAAAACTATCATAGAAAATATTAAATTTCATAGAAAATATTACATGTAGTATATAGCGTCAGTAAATTATCATTGTTGGTTTCTCACGTAAAACTTAGTATTACAATGGAATATTACTCAGCCATTAGAAATGACAAATACCCACCATTTGCTTCGACGTGGATGGAACTGGAGGGTATTATGCTGAGTGAAGTAAGTCAATCGGAGAAGGACAAACATATGGTCTCATTCATTTGGGGAATATAAAAAATAGTGAAAGGGAATAAAGGGGGAAAGAAGAAAAAATAAGTGGGAAATATTAGAAAGGGAGACAGAACATGAGAGACTCCTAACTCTGGGAAACGAACTAGAAGTGGTGGAAGGGGAGGTGGGCAGGGGGTGGGGGTGACTGGGTGGCGGGCACTGAGGGGGGGGCACTTGTTGGGATGAGCACACTGGGTGTTATTCTGTATGTTGACAAATTGAACACCAATAAAAAATAAATCTATTAAAAAAAACTCAGTATTATAATTCTATCCAGTATTTCAATGTAATATGGTGATATTCTTTGTCCAGTTGAAAGTTGAGGGATGAGGAATGATGGAAAAGAGATAACTGTATTGGAATTCTATTGCTCTGAGGAAGCTAAACTTGCATACATCTGTCATTTTCCAGGGAGTAACACTTAATGTTTGTAATTATTCTGAAACCCTAGATTGCCATAATGCTTTTGCCTTGCTTGTGAGGCCACCAACAGAGCGGGCAAATGTGCTGCTCAGTTTCCAGATGACCTCAGAGGAACTTCTAAAAGAAAACTGGCTAAAGATGTTATGTCGACATGTAGCCAATACTATTTGTAAAGCAGACGCTGTAAGTTCTTAAACAACTATTGTAATGAAAGTTTTAACTTGATTGCAATGTGTTCAGACTAACCCTGTACATTTCTAATGACTCCGCAATTATGGATGTAGAAGAGTTTCAGTTTTATGTGTATTGAGGAAAACTGGTTTAAAAAGTTGTTTTGGAAAAGATTTTAAAAAAATACACACGAGTCCCTCGCTTACAGGTAGGCCCTTCAAAGCCTAATAACTAACTCCTTTGCCTTTTTGACTTCGTGAAGCTTTTGGGACTTGTTCTAATGTACGCTGTGATTTTTGTTGGTGCTCTTTGACCTGGCTATTTGTAAAATAAAGGGCATCTTGTTCTGTTGTTCTTTTATCTTGTTGAAAGCAATAGATGAGTTGTAGCAAGTTGTTTTTTCTGTCAGGCAAGTTGCCAACCAGTTTTCTCAGTCCAACTTCTGAAAATCAAATACCATTATGAATATATAATTATCTTATTCAGCTTAAAGTGCAGATACATGAGAAAATCAAATTACTGAAGTTAAATCACTCATAGGAATCAGATAGCCTGTAGTACATCTTGGATGAACTCTAGATCCCTTAACAGATAATTTTATTTCTTCATTATACATGGGAGAGACATGTGATAAACAGGTATAGACTCTTTCATCTTTGTACAAATGACATAGAGGAGAATGTATTGATAAATGACCCTTTTCATTACAGTAGTACTGTAATGAAGATTGCCTTGCACATTCCTGTTGGAGTAAAATGTTTATTTTATCATAGCTAAGTCTAACCTTGAAGGCTATTGAGGTATAATTATAGTGGTTTATAGAGTAGGTAATAATTGATTAAAACCTCCTACCTAAATGTTGAGAACACTTAACAGACCTTTTTTTTAAGCAGAAAATTTCAATTTCTTTTTTCAAAAGGTGAAATGACAGGGAAAACCAAGGAATAAATTTGACTGATTTATCCTAATTTTCATTTATAGGAGAATTCATCTAGCAGGATTTTTTTTTTTAATTTCTATGGGCCAGCAATATGTTATAAATAAAGGATTGTTGCATAAAAAGATTCACAGAAGCATAGGGCATATGGCAGTGCTGGCTAGAAAAATGATGGAGACAGTTATAAAGCTTACAAAAGTGCTCATTGTTAGGAGGAGTTTTTTTTTTCATAGTTCAAGGTATGCATATATAAGAGATCTTTGCAGTATAGTGACTGCCTGTTGTAGAAATTACTCGTACATTGATCATGGCATCAGACTAGATGGCTTATGCAGTCCTTTCCAAACTTATAACCATAATACTGAAGTGCTGTTAATGTTAATCAATACAATCTATTGATTACTAGCCACAGAATGGCTAATAATTCTAGAACTAAAATATAAACAGCTAATGGAAAGATTTCATATAAGTTAGCCACAAGATGGCAGCAAACGTTTAACTATGACCCTGATTTATACTGAAACCACAAAATTCAAGTTGTGAAATTTCGTTAACTAAGAAATATTTCTCACTGACTTGAGTTGACCTCTTTCCTGCATTTAAAATACTACACATAGTAAATTTTAAAAAGTCCGGAGTTGATCTCTTATCATTTGATAACAACTGCCGTGTTGAAGATAAAGTATTTCTAAACACACACATGCACACACACAATGTGAAAGATAAAAATTTCTTGATTCTTTGAATCAGTAGTTTTTTCCTTCTATTACACATTTTGGGTTCTCTGAATAATTGGAGCTTACTTAATAAAGAGTAAAAAATACAGTTTTATTCTATACTCTCATTCTTCATACCCATATTTAAATGACTTAAGAATTTTTAAGCTGAAATAAAACCTAATCTAATCTCATTAATTTACATGTGAAATTAAGGCCAAGAGCATAAAGCTCACATTAGAATCCAGGTATTAGCTGATTCTTGGTTAAACTCTTGCATAGCTTTTCTCCTCATGGATATGATGTCCCATATTCTGTTAATTTAGAATTTAAAGATTAGAGTTTTAATCTGTCGAATTTTATTTCTCAGAATACTTAGGTATGTTTGGTCTCTTGCCAACATGTAACCTATAAGTGCATGGTTCATACTCTTAAGGTTCATATACTGCCTGAGGTCAGTTGGTAGCTTTCTGAAGCCACTGCAGATTTCTAATTTTTAATATCAAAAGTATAATTTATTGACAAGTGGATTTGGGCAGTGTTACTCCTTCACTCTCCCCACTTTTGAATAGTTTAGAGGAAGCAACTTGATAATTATTATTTTTTAAGATTTTATTTATCTATTCATGAGAGACACCGAGAGAGAGAGGCAGAGACACAGGCAGAGAGAGGAGCAGACTCCATGCAGGGAGCCCGATGTAGGACTTGATCCCGGAAACCCAGGATCACACTCTGGGCCACAGGCAGGTGCTAAACCACTGAGCCACCCAGGGATCCCCAGTAACTTGATAATTAAATGCCCAGTGCTACAGTTCAGTTCTTTTACTACTAATTCTTTGTTTCTTTTAAAAATCAAATTTTTACATCTTGGTCAAATCACTACTGGCTACTTTTGAGCAGCAATATTCATTCTTAGAAATTCTGGTTACAAGTTTTAAGAACTAACTACGTAAATAGACTGAAAGTAGAACGTATATGAGAAGAGTTTGTGTTTCTGAGCCAATGATATTTATAATGGAGTTAATATGATTTGTATTTACAATTCTGCTGGTTATTAGCCATACATAATAAGTTCTTGATATAAATATCTGTTATTGGTACTACTTTAATTTGGTCAAGGCAGTAGCGGTAAGCTATAAATATGATTATAGAGCTTGAGGAAATCACTGAGGCACAAGCTCAGGGAGGGTTTATGATACTAGATATTTTTTCTGTGTTTGAGGACTAGTGGGAGAAGAAAGCTTAGGGGAAAAAGGGTCTGATAACTCACATGAAAAAGGATCTCTCATTAGCTTAAGATTTCAGAAATGGTGGAAAATTTCTTTTGAATTAACACCGATGAGTAGGTCTCTGAAATATGTAGCTAAGATTCAGTTTCTCCTGGAATTAATATTATGTCACTCAGTGGGAGAAATTGATTACTACTTTCTAATCTTAAACTCTGCTAATCTGTCTTTATTTTATTTTATTTTATTTTATTTTATTTTATTTTATTTATTTTATTTTATTTTATTTTATTTTAATTAATTAATTTATTTATTTAATAGTCACACACAGAGAGAGAGAGAGGCAGAGACATAGGCAGAGGGAGAAGCAGGCTCCATGCACCGGGACCCCGACGTGGGATTCGAGCCCGGGTCTCCAGGATCACGCCCTGGGCCAAAGGCAGGCGCTAAACTGCTGCGCCACCCAGGGATCCCCCAGATCTGTCTTTAGAACTAGTCTTAGGTATTTGTGGATTTGGGGCTCGTTGAAGAGCTTCTCTTTCTAGTCGTTGATGCTTGAGATATGTTGAGTAAATCATGAAATGGTTTTAGGATTATATTAGTATGTTATTAAAAATGTCTTTTATTTATGGTATAAATTTTGTTTTTATTTTGGAAATTTAGAGGAATAGAATAGAGTAAGGTGGTTTTTTTTTTTTTGAAGGGATGTCTTGCCTTTAGTGATACTTGTTTTTTAAACAGTCTGGTATATGGTAATGCAGTATTTTATTCTGTTAATAACTAATGTTTGAGAACATTTATAATATTAATAGAACTTAATCTAAGACAAGTTCAACTTTTTTTTGCATTTCAATATTGGGTATTAATAAGAGATGGTCAAAATAATTATGGTCAAAATTATTACATCAAAAACTTTAAATGCTTGTTAGTCTTTATACAGTTTTGACATAAAGTTCTTTGGTTGTTGCAAGAAAGAACATTTAGTTGACTTCACCAACAGGAACTCTCTCTTAAGGTTGGGCTGGTGTCTTGGTATTTCTTCTGCTGTTGATTTTTAGCATAGTTGTCTGTGAATGTATGAATGGAGTTGAGTGGAGAGGTACTCAATCAGATTTATTCATAACTGATTACTATAGTAATGAGAAGGTACACAGGTAGTACAACTGCCTAATATTTTTGAGACCAGTAGATTAAGCTTAAGGAGTTTAGTCAAGATTTAGGAACAAAAGCCCCCACAAGATACAGTATGAAGCCAAATTGGGAGCTTAAGAAAAGAACAAAGCCATAAATCGCTCTTTCTGGCAGTGGTAATGGTGAATTTCCCAGCATTTTCCCTGTGACTTTAGACAGTCTTAGCACACAGTCCCTCATGGAAGTGCCTGTCTGGGAAGCTTGACAGGGGCAAGAGAGGAAGAACTGTGAGGAAGGCCAGGTCACGACAGTGCCCCCAGAGTAAGGTTTTTCACTATTTGGAAGAGAGAATGGGAACTATTGGTAAAACAAAAAGGCTAATAGAAAAAAAAACCTTGGAATAATGAAGCTAAGTTTCCCCAACTTTACATTTTTGTCTGTGATTTTTCCCTACTTACCTTCCCCTATATAGAGAGAACTAAAGGAAGTACTTCATCTTTACATCTTAGCAAACAGCTATATTGTCATCTCAGCCACTACAACTACCTACATGCTTACCTTTCCAGTCATCCTGAACTCAGGGCTTCTCGAAATGTAAAAGACTTCATCTCTATCTACCCTAATCAAATTATAAGTAATTTATTTGTTCATTGAGAGAAAACAGGAAGCCATCTGCTCTTTTCAGTTCATAGGTTATTATATGCTTAATAATAGTTAAGATAGCAATAGAAAGACTGAGAATCTCTTTCCTTTATTAGCAACTGCTTAAGGATTTAGTTTTATATTCACTTTATGAGTTTTACTCTCTAAATTGAAAAATAATATTTGCACATTAAAAAATCAAATAGAGAAAAGTATCCTGCAGTAAAATATACATACATGCCCCACTAGTCTTTTTTTCAGCAGTGCAATTTTTTATATTTTCATCTGTCTTTCCAGAAAAAAAAAGTGTAGATATATCCATTTCTTATTAGATGTATTCCTAGGTAAATTCCTCTCTATAATTCTATTCGTGAGATGTTTTTAAGATTTATTTTTTTTTTTTTTTGAGAGATCATGACCTGAGCTAAAACCAAGAGTCTGATGCTTAACCAACTGCACCACCCAGGTGCCCCTTCAGTGTTTAGTTTTTAAAAAAATATCTTGGGTCGATCAATTTAGAATGAACACTGATGAATTATTTGTATTTTGAAAACAAAACATGAAGAAAAAGATATTTGTGTCAAAACATCCTTTTTCTGAATTTGCTTCTGTAGGAGTATAAAAAACTTCTATCAAGTAAGTTTTTAATATATATGTGTTGATTAAATGAAAGCCAGTTTGAAATGAAATCAAATGAAACTAAAATTGAAAATGAAATGAGAAGAAAATCAAATTCATAAAACTAAAGTTACAGCTGTTCTTAGTTTATGGCGTCATATGTACAGCAATGTAGGAAATGTGATCCCTCTGCTATAAAGTGTTGGAAATCTTAATGCAGAACCTTGCAGGGGTATGTGAATGGGGATGATGGAGACTCAGGGATAGGCAGAGCTTGAATCACAGTCTTGACTGCTTTGTTTCTCACAGATTGTCGAGAGATGTTAACTCTTCTGTTATTTTGCCAGTGATTGTCTAGATTACTAACAAGAACCAATTGAAAAAATATTAGAACTTGTAACAGTTTAGTTTAGCCAAATAAAAAATAAATACATATCAATAGACTTTTTTAAAGGCTTATTTATTTTAGAGAGAGAAAGTACAAAAGAGTGTGGGGTGGGGTGGGGGGGGGGAAACAGGCAGAGGGAGAGAGAGTCCTAAGCAGACTGCCTGCTGAGCCAGCACGGGGCTGATTTCACAACCTTGAGATCAGGACCTGAGCCAAAACCAAGAGTTGGAGTCTTAACCCACTGTGCCACCCAGGTGCCCCTCAATAGTTTTTCTCTATGCTGGCAGTAACCAACTAGAAAGCATGAGGAACAAAGACCCCTCTTTCCAATAAAACGTGGTATAAATTTAGGAAATTTTAGTATATATCTAGGAATAGTCTTGTAAGAAATAAATGAGAGTTTTCTATTTTAAGAAAACTGTATAATACTTCACAGAGAAATCTGTGACGCTCCTGAATGAAAATGCTGACTAGTGTAACAAAGTCACCTCTTCTTATAAAATCCTTCAGTAAATTTCTGGATTTTGACAGAAGGATTCCAAAGATTACTTTTTTATTGTTGCTTTTTCTTTAAAAATTAAGATTAGTACTCCTTTTATGAGCTATTACATTGTATTTCGAAAGTTACAATGATCTGAACACTACTGCACAATGGAAAGGATAAAAGTCCTTGAAATAAGACTCTATTATACGATAAATGTAGTACTTTAACAATTTAATAGGATTGTTAACATATGGTGCTATACTTAGGGAAAATTAGATGTATATCCTAACCGTATATCCACATAACCTTATAGGTAGATTTCAAAAGTTAAAAGTGAAACCATTTCAAAAACCTGTAAGAAAGTGTAGGTGTAAGTGGTGAATGTTGAATCAGTTGGTTGGTTTTTTGATGTTGAGTTTTAGGCATTCTCTATATGTTCTGGATATTAATCTCTTCTCATATATATCAGATATATGATTTACATTTTTCTCCCATTCTGTAGATGGGAGAAAAATCTACTCTATTTGTAGTGTCTTTTGTACATTTACCAGTTTTTATGAAATCTCACTTTTCTGTTTTTCTTGTGTTGCCTCTGCCTCTGTGGTATATTGAAGATAGCACTGTTAAATCCAGTGTCTTGAAGCTTTTGTCTTCTAAGAGTTTTATAGTTTTAGCTCTTTTATTTAGAGTTTTGATCCATTTTGATCAATTTTTGTATGTGGTATAAGGTAAGGATCCAACTTTATTCTTTTGCCTGTAGATATCTAGTTTTTCCAGGACCATTTGTTGGAAAGACTGTCCTTTTTCTGTTGAATAGTCTTGATGCCCTTGTCAAATCATTTGACCACATAGGGGAGTTTATTTCTGAGCTCTCTATTATGTTTCATATTCTATATCTTATGTCTGTGTAGTACCATTTTGATTATAGTAGTAGGTACGTTTGGTTTTTTGTTTTTGTTTTTTTCTGTTTTTTGTTTTAAGATTTATTTATTTTAGAAAAAGTGGGAGGATGAGGGGAGGGGCAGAGGTAGAGGGGGAGGGAGAGAGACCTTCTCCAGCAGACTCCCGCTGAGTGAGGAGCCCAACGTAGGGCTCAATCCCATGACCCCAGTGTGGGGCTCAGTCCCATGACTCAAGATCATGACCTGAGCAGAAATCAAGAGTCAGATGCTCAACCAACTGAGCCACCCAGGCACCCTTAGTATAGTAGGTTTTTAAACCAAGAGGCTTAAAATAAATAAATAAATAAACAAACAAACAAACAAACAAACAAACCCCTTAGTATAGTAGGTTTTTAAACCAAGAGGCTTTAAATAAATAAATAAATAAATAAATAAATAAATAAATAAATAAATAAATAAACAAACAAACCAACCAACCAACCAACCAACCAACCAACCAACCAAGAGGTTTGAGACTTCCAACTTTGTACTTTTTTTCCAGGATTGTCTTGGCTATTTGGGCTCCCTTGTGATTTCATATGAATTTTGGAATGAATTTTTTTTTTCTTTGCAAAAAAATCATTGGGATTTTGATAAGGATTTCATTGAATCTGTAGATTGCTTTGTGTAGTATTGACATGTTAATGTTAAATCTTTCAATTCATGAGGACAGGGTGTTTTTCCACTTATTCCTCCCTTTTTTAATTCCTTTCAGCAATGACATGTTGTAGTTTACAGTATATGTCTTTCATCTCTTTGTTCATTCCTAAGTATTTTTTTGATGTTATATTTACTTCTTAACAAAAAGGAAATAGAGGCACTTTGTGTTAAAAAATAATGAAATGATAACATTAATTCTCATATAATCAGAAGAGGCATTTATCATTCCTTGATATAGGAATTCCTTCAAGTGATATGGAAAAGAGCCATAATACACAGCTAATTGAAAAATATAAGATATAAAACTGAATAGAACCATTCTAATTTTGTTAAAATAAAAGAATTATGCATATAAAAACATGTGTAGGAAGTATGTTTAAATGTAAATCGTAAATAGGACACTTGTGGGTAATTTTATTTTATTTTTAATTTTTTCTTCAAAATTTTCTATAATGGAAGTGATTTTTTTTTTGACTCAGGAAAAAAATTATAGCATTTTAAAAAGTTACTGATGATTTTAAGTACTATTATCTGATTGAGATTAGTACGCAACTGAGTCATTTTTAGCAAATGGATGAGGTGGAAAGACAAGGTCTAGCGCAGACATGACGGATTTGCTTGTTTTAAGAAGCTTTGGCAAAACCAAGCCTGTCTATGTGATGTCAGTGGTGAAGAGCCAAAGCAACCATTTATAAATGTAGAGGATAATATTTAAGACTATTTGTTTATAAGGGCGTTTAACATTTTATTTCAAAGGACTACTGTGTATTAATTATCTTGTTTTATGACTCCTGTGGGTTAAGTATACCAGATACATTCTACATTTTGCATATGAGAATATTTTCAGAAAAACCAATATCCACAAGGTTGTATAAAATTCTCTCTAGCCACAGAATGGCAGTGGTGGAAGATAGTCTTAATAGTGCTAGACAAGTGGAGGAACTTGGTGATTCATGACCTAGATCTACAAATTTAAAGTGTAAATTGGTTATAGGAGTATGTAAAAACATTTTATCTCACCTCCTTTTTTCGAAAAGCCCAACCCAAATATAATTTGAGCAAATGATATTTTGGATTACTTGGAGATTAGTTGTCTCATTTAAGGTTAATTTTCATTAGTGGCTCTTGGCCTATATGAAATTTTTTACTCCTTTTAGAATGTAACTTAAGCGATGAGCCCACTCCTTAGAAAAATGTCCTTTGCATTTCTGCACACACACAGATTTGCACGTGATTTCGGGAAGGTTGCATACCTCCTTATTTCTATCCATTGCCACTTCTAGGAGCTCTTGATCACAGATTCAGAACCTCCAATTTAGAATCCATCAGATTTTATTTGAGGAACAAAGGAAAAAGTCTTAAGTTTTAATTTGAGATTATCTCAAGGAAATTTGTTTCTGATGTTGGTTTTGTAGTGGACTTAATACTTAAAGCATTATGTCCACTGATTTCCAACTTGTTGGTTTTAGGGTTGTTAAAAAGATTTTATATTGAGGTTTTTTTTTTTTTCAGTTGCTTTGGTGTCCATAGTCCTTGTAATGATTTTTGCATTTAGTGAATGCTAATTTTTTACTGTCCTTAAATTAGTACATTTCAAAGTTGAAATTATACCAAGCATATAAAAAAACCTGAGTTGTTTCATTTGTATATACTCCCATGTACTTAAAGCTTTGATTTTAGAAACAGTTGTGTATTTTTATTTTGCTTTACTTATTTATTTTAAAATAATATAAAAGTTTTTTTTTTTTTGACAGGAGAATCTTATATACAGTGCTGATCCAGAATCCTTTGAAGTAAATACTAAAGATATGGACAGTACATTGAGTAGAGCATCTAGAGCAATAAAAAAGACTTCAAAAAAGGTGAGTCTTAGCTTATTATTTAACATATCACCAAAATGTATTTTTCAGATTATTTGAAAATAATACTGCCATAAACCCCAGTATAAAGATGGTCTGTATAACAGAGCTATTTTCTTGGTTCTAAAAGGGCCCATAGAGCTAATAGTTTTAGTTCAGCAAATTCTTTAGTGCAGTAATTATAACAACTTGTTATCCCCCCCATTCTTGTTATAGTGCTACTTCTATGTCCCATGCTTCACTAGAATGTCCTGGTGCTGGTTTAGATGTAGATACATATACATCCATCTTAAATATTGCCTGGGGTCTACTCCTGACCATAAGTACATTTCAGTCTCCTAATGATGAAAACCACTTCCCTTTTTACCTTGTCAGAGTTGAGGACTATGTAAGAATGTTGGGAATGGGGCTGTTTATTTCAAATGGGCTCCGTGCTGGGTGTGGAGTCTAGTGTGGATCTTGAATTCACCACCCTGAGATCATGACCTGAGCTGAAATTAAGAGTCAGATGCTTATAACTGACTGAACCACCCAGGTGCCCCATGTAATGGGACTTTTTAAAGGTAAAACTAGAATTTTAATATTTTGAGCATTTTTTGTTCTTTTTGCTTTTGAAGAGAGGCCATCTACTTTATTATTTAATCATCTTTGTATCTCCCAGCATTTAATGTATATTATTATACCAGATAAGCATGTTAAATAATGATTCAAATGAACTCTTTCTATTTTTTAATAAATAAATTGAGGTTCAAGTGGCTTTGGATTAAAGATTTCACAACTAAATTTTAGCAGAATCAGATAAAAACCCAGGTTTCTGATCTCCCAGGCCAGGTTTTTCTTCCTACTTTCCTCCTCACATTTGGCTGTAGTGCTTGATGATTGCAAGATGGAATAGTCTACAGTGTGCTACTACATCTTCTTACTGTTTTGTCCAAAGAAATTCCAATTCTGCCATATACTATTTGTAGAAAAACTTCATGTATATTTGGCTTTATGTTCTTATCAGTTGTGTTAGATTTATCTAGGCTTAATTAATTGTAACTCTTTTTAACTCTAGGTTACAAGAGCGTTCTCTTTCTCCAAAACTCCAAAAAGAGCTCTGAGAAGGGCCCTTATGACATCCCAAAGCTCAGTGGAGGGAAGAAGTCCTTCTAGCAATGACAAGCATGTAATGAGTCGTCTATCTAGCACATCATCATTAGCAGTAAGTGACTTTGGTCTAATGGCCTAAATGACTTATTCGCATTTACGGAGTTGGTATGGAATTTGCTAACTTTTTCAAAATGGAAGTCTTAATGTCTTTTTTTTTTTTTTTTTTTTTTTTAGTCTCTTGGGTAAAGGTAACAAAAACTTCACTTAATGAACTAGAGACATACTTGGTGTATAGTTTGATATGAAATTTTATTGGGATTGAGGTACATTCAAAAATCTCTAAGAAAAGAAACATTTGGGCAGCCCCGGTGGCCCGGCAGTTTAGCGCCGCCTTCAGCCCGGGGTGTGATCCTGGAGACCCGGGATCGAGTCCTACATCAGGCTCCCTGCTTGGAGCCTGCTTCTCCCTCTGCCTGTGTCTCTGCCTCTCTCTCTCTCTCTCTGTGTGTGTCTCTCATGAATAAATAAATAAAATCTTGAAAAGAAAAGAAAATTTCAATTAGGCTCATCACTTTAATAATGTAAACAATGATGGTTCTGTTTATAGAGATTGGCTCCAATAATATAGCAGATTGGGCTTTTTTTGTTGTTTTTTTACTATTTTTATGATGAGTAGCATATAACCTCTGAAGCCAAAGAATGATGTGGATTCTAAATTCATATGTGTATATTCTTAAATTTTTCCTGAATAGCTCAAATTCCTAGTGGTGTCAGAATTATTAGACAATTAATATCAGGAACATTTCTAACGTTTATTGCCGCCACTAAGTATGTGAATGATATATCTGTTCTTTGCAAAATTATTATTGATCTAACCTACTAAGGTTAAGAAAAGCAAGTGATTGACACTTCTGAGTTGTGTGTCCTTCAGCAAGTTTCTTCTTCTCTTATCCTCATTTTTGCAGCTGAGAAAAAAAGAGGCTAATAGTACTTAACCCTGTAGTGTTACAATAAGGACTAAACACACATACATACACAATGTGATTATCTAATGAGAAGCAATTTGAATAGTGGTTAAGAGCATACACTCTGGAACTCACATGTTTAAATCCTGGCTCTGCTGTTGGGTAGCTGTATGACTTTTGGCAAGTTATTAAAATCTCTCTGTTTCAATTTCTCTATCAGTAAGATGAATTTAAAGTAGTAGTTGTAAAGATTAATTACGTTAATATACGCAAAGGGCTTTGAACAGTTCTTGGAATATAATAAGTGGTTTAGCATTTTATGAATGGCTACCTTTTGTTATATGAAATTTATAGATGAGGTACGTAACACCTCATCTAGTAACTCATTTTTTTAAAAGCTAGTTAGGTCTAAGTCTTAACTCAAACACTTACAGTTAAATGTATGAGTATGTTTATACAAATTTTGGAGGAAGATTAACCTTCCAGTGGAAGGGAAGTTGTGCTTGACAATATAGATATATGCAAAGAAATTTGATAAATGAAAATGAGTTAATAGACAATACAGTAAGGCCAAAGTACTGTCCCTTGTTTATGTCCTGCATCTACATACCTGTGTAACTCTTATAAACATTGCTTTTCAAATGGATGTAATTGGAATTCACAGAAAACTTTTAGAAAATTATTTGTAGCTTTTGTCACTTCTTTGTAGATAACATAAATAAGTATGTAAAATATCTTTAAAACATTGATGTCCTCTTCTCAATTGCTTATTTCTGTTCTAACAGATTGTCCATTCTGTTTCCACAAGCAATATAATTGGATTTACTAAGCATGTTTATGTACAGCGCTCAAACTCTACTGGTGGGCGCTCTCAAAACTCCTGGTTTCGATCTATCCGTCATTCTGCCTCACGAGCTAGTTTTTCAGAGATACTAAAAGGAACTATTGATTTTTCAAATTTCAAAAAAAGTCCTATCCAAGTCATCTTTGATATTTGTGAAGAATTAGGAGATATGCCAACCAGTAATGGAAACAAGCCTCATGAAGTTTAATGTGAGCTTATTAGCTATTTGAAATTTGTATTTGTGAAAAGAAGAAAGTATACTTTCTTCACTGAATCATTATTAAGTGGGTGGGGACTTAGAAATTAGAAATTTTCCTATTTATGAAAGTGATCATTTTAAGGAATAGTAATAATTTTGATGTAAAGTAGATTTTTATTCCAAATCTGATTCTTAATCTTAGATTTATGGCTTTTATATAAAATTCATGCTTTTTAATATGGCAAATCATAAACCCTTCGCTTGAAGAAACTTTAAGCTTTTATACTATCTTCTTAAATCATCTTTGTTATCACTTAAATGGTAATACTTTACCAACGTAGCTCTTTAAATAAATACTACATTTTACTACATTGTTGATGAGAACTTACAATCAGCTACTTGGTTGGCTCTAGGTTTACTTACAGTTAGACATTCATATATGTTAAAGCAATAAAGCTTTCTTTATAATTCATCTTGATTTACACCCACTCTTCAATTTTTGGTGTTCTTGCGCATGTTTCTTTATTATTATTGAAAATTCTGATGATATTTAACTTTGACCTCTGAAACAAATATAGATAGCTTAGTAACTTAATAATCTTCAGAAGTGCTATATTTTGCTGTTTTTACATGGAGCAAAATTATACACATACACCTATGTATGAATTGCACATATAGTACAAAAACTCTCTAGGAATATATGACCTTTAATTTTAGAGAACAATTTTTCATGAAGTAATTTCACTCCTCTTAATTTTGCTTTATGATTAAGAAGAAACTACTAGGGCTTATCTTTTTACCACAAAAACTTACTAATTTATAATTTTTTTTTTAAAGAACCTGAAACAGTCTTTAATATCACACAGAAATACCCTATTACCAGTAAGCCAGTATCCCAGTTGACTTAATATATAATTAACCAGTCTGTGCATTTTTTTTTTGTTTTTCAGAATGCTAAAATACTTTTGTGTTTTTTTCCCATCCCCTAATTTAAATTCATTTATTTAAAGAGTTTAGAATTTTCAGATGTTTTAAAATTGTTACATTAATTTGTAAAAATAATCTGCATGATGCTAAAATGTTTTTTTTTTTTTTAAGAAAAAATTTAAATCTAAAAATATTTGTTTTGTCTTTATAGGGTATCCCATCACCCTCCCTTATCAGCCTACCTTCCTTCTTTGAAAGAAGAAGTCATACTTTAAGCAGATCTACAACTCATTTGATATGAAGCTTAAAAAAAGTCTTAATTTAAAGCAACTTATAAACACTTCATGTTCAAATAAGAAACTGACTTAAATGGTACTTGTCATTAGCACTTGGTGAAAGCTGGAAAGAATATAGATAACACTAAAACTGTCATTTGATTTTCTTCTTGAATGAGTAAGGTTAACCTCTTACATATTTTTGAGTTAATTCATGTAAAAATTATATTGATTTTGATGTAATTTTTCTCTTCACTCGAATCCTTCATTCGAAGACCAATAATTTAAGTTATTCGTATTAGTAGCCTTGCAACTTGATAATAGTAAATAAATTATATTGGTGAGTACCAAATACTGCTGTGACTCTCTGTGTATAGTGTCCATGAATGAATTTTTGGAAATTCCTATTTGTGTATCTCAATTTGTGAAGAAATTAAGTGATAATACAGAACTTACTAGATAAAACACCTGCACAGATTTCTGGTTAATAGTGGGGACTTGTTTCAAATGTGCTGTTTGAAGTAATTATTTAACTGTTCTGTTGCAGTTTATTTTATTCTCTAATGTTTGCAAAATGTAGAGTGTGGGTTTTAAAAGATTTGCCCTTATTAACAAGAATAATAATTAAAGGGAGATGGTTTTAAAATTCTTTTGCAAATTGAGATAAGAACAGAGAGTTTAAAAAATGTATATTTTGGCAAACATGGTATTAGTGTATACTTGTAACTTTTTCAGGGTCCATATATTTTGAGTGATTTTAGCCACTAGCAAATCTTCATTTAGTTTGATAGTGTGAGGAATTTTATTTTGAAGGGTAAGACCATGGGGAAATTGTGGTATGGACTATTATATACTCTATGAAATAATTCTAAAATTGGCATCATTTTTACTAATCTGCTATAAAATATGTAGATACGTGTATGGTCTACCTTTTATTTTGGTCTCATAATTAAGTGTAAAATTGAAATACATTTATTTGCTGTTGTAAAATATCTTTCAAGCCCTGATGTTAATTTTCACAAGTTTTTTTTTATAGTCAGTGATACAAAATAATCAAGTTCCTATGAATAAATGCATTTTTATTTCCTATCTATGTAGGAGAATATGCAGACTTTTGTCATTTAACAATTTTCAGTCATCTGCTTTAATAGTTGACTAGATTTTTTCTATGCCACATATTTGCCATTTTTAAATAGTAAATCACTCTTTATATATTTTAAAAGCAGTTGTATTAATAAGAACTTTGTAAATAAATACTTAAAACTCAAGTATATTTTGTTTCATGTTTTTTGTTATTTTGTAAAGAATTACTTATTTTATTTAGAGAGAGAGGGACAGCAGGGAGAGAGGCAGAGGGAGAGAGAGTCTCAAGCTACTCCCTGCTGAGCATAGAGCCTGCTGTGTGGCTTAATCCCTTGACCCTGAGATCATGACTTGAGCTCAAATCAAGAGTTGGATGCTTAACCATCTGAGCCACCCAGGCACCCCTGTTTCATGTTTTAATCAGTTCCTTTACACAAATTTTTATAGGTCAGTATGAATGCTTGCTTCAACTTCTTTCATACATTTGCTTGAGTTTTATTTTATTCATTTCTCCATTAATATTTTTGAGCATTATGTATACTGAGCTTTATTGTAGGACTTTTTTTTTTTTAACGATTTTATTTATTTATTAGAGAGGCAGGAAGAAACAGACTCCCCACTGAGCAGGGAGGTGGATGTGGTTCTTGATTCTCAGGACCCTGAGATCATGACCTGAGCCAAGGTCAGATGCTTAATAGACTGAGCCACCCAGGCGCCCCAGGACAGTAGCTTTTAATCTGGAATCTATTTTGTAGAATGGAGGCAGTGAATCTTATGATAGTTTATAAAAAAAATTGTGTTTAGTGCATGTATGCATTTTTCTGGCAGAAATTACACAGCTTTTATCATTTTATTAGAGATGGAGCTTTGATTTCCTCCAAAAGTATGGTGTTTCCAGGGAGGGGAAATGACCTGAGATAAGGCATGAAATTGGAAACATTGGATGAACCCTGGCAAAATATTAGCAGGTAGTTAATTTTAACTTTAACCGCCTCTTGTTTTTCTCTTTAATGACTCCTGCTCCAGGATAGTATTTTTGGTATCCCCATTACAAATTAAAGACCGTGTGCGTATATTCTTTATGTCAACATGCTTTATCATGTTTGGATGTTACTTACAAATTAACCTTTTATTCTCTATTGAGAAAATTTTTTAGTATTGATCTTTAATCTATTGCATTATATTAATATATTTTGTAATGTTAACCCATTATTGTATTTGTGGGTTACACCATATAAATCCTACATGATGTATTGAATATAGAACCATATCAATAAAGAATCACATTATGAAAGAGACATAAGAAAATGTTTAATTCTATAGCAAGTTTGAAAATGTGTTGGACCTAGGCAAAGTATAGCTAAAGTTGACTCAAAAGGAAGTAGAGAATTCTAATGGCCCCCAAAATAGCACAAGTTAGGTAAATATGCACTGTGGAAGAAGATGCAAATTCCAAATGATTTTAAATCTGAGTTCTAGTATTTAAAGACTACTTAATGTATAGTAATAGTCATACTTTGCAGAATTAAAAAAGATTGGCAGCTATCCAGTTCATTTTGTGAAGTTTAACATAAGCTTTATATCAACATTTTAAAAGGATAATGTAAGAAAGAAAAGTACTGATTAAATTCAATTATGGATATAGAAGCAATCATTCTAAATAAATGATTAACAATTAAGTCTAGAAGTAAGAATACAGTCTATTCTTCAAATGACCTTTGGATGACTAATAAACATAGCAGGCCTAAACTGACATAATGATCATGGTAAATGGAACACAGTGCTCCATTGGATGACTTTTGGATGACTAATAAACATAGCAGGCCTAAACTGACATAATGATCATGGTAAATGGAACACAGTGCTCTTGACTGAAGGAGACTTTTAGACTCACGCAGTTTGATTCAAGTTTATTTCTCAACTCCACCATTATGGAGCTGAATGGGAATCAGGTTTCCAGTTGGATCCAATATCAATGCTAAAGAGCCTTTTGAATTGTTTTAGGGATTTTGTTGCATCAAGTAGGGTTCTTTCAAGAGTGTAAGTGTGGTTTAATATTTTGGAAGTTTACAAATACGACTTATTGACAATTTATAGGAGAAAATACACGATTGATCAGTAGATTCTGTAAGGTCATTTAATAAAACTCAGCCACTGTTTTTCATAAAATTTCAACTAAGGCCTTTGGGCAACATGACTAAATACAGTCAGAGTTCTTCTAACGGAATTATCGAACATTTATGAAATACAATTTAAAAATAATTTTAGTATATAATTCAGGTCAAAAATATGGAAATTGCTTGTTGTGAGAAATTGATCGAAATCCAAGCCAATAAAATACAGGTTGTGTGTGGGGGTGTGTGGTGGAGTGAGGGGGGCGGGGAGTGTAACATGACGAATTGTTTCCAGAATGTGTATGGAATTACAAAGGGTTAAGAATGACCAATCAGTTGAGGAACTTGCTCTGTCAGGAACAAGGTTTATTATAAACCTGTAGTATCAAGACGGCAAGATATTGGAACTCTCAATGCACTGAACACAAATTAATGGGTCATAATTAAAAACTGATAAACAAACGTGCTTTGAAACAGTGAAATCTGTCTATCCAATAAGTGGTGCTGAGAAAAATCTTTTTCTTTAAGGAGAAAAATCTAATGTCTTCACATTCTATACAAAATGAATTCCAGGGGAATTAGAGATTTAAATATGAAAGGTAAAAACTAAAAAAGATTTCACTAGGTAATATAGGAGAGTATCTTAATCTGTCCAGGTTTGGAAAATATTGCTTAAATGTGTCATCATAGGGGATCCCTGGGTGGCACAGCGGCTTAGCGCCTGCCTTTGGCCCAGGGCGCGATCCTGGAGACCCGGGATCGAATCCCACGTCGGGCTCCCGGTGCATGGAGCCTGCTTCTCCCTCTGCCTGTGTCTCTGCCTCTCTCTCTCTCTCTCTGTGTGACTATCATAAATAAATAAAAAAAAAATGTGTCATCATATTTAAAATAATTTTAGTGGGAAGGATTGGTAAATCTGTATTAAAACTCAGAACTTCCAGTCGTGAAAACACACCGTTAAGAGCAAAAGTCACAAAGTAGATGTTCACAATATATGTAACTGATGGACTCATCCGGAATTGTATTATAAAGAACTAAAAAGCCAAAAAACATAGACCTCCATGTGGAAAAACAAGCATTCATGGTTGAGAAAATCCAAGGGGTTGGTGTTCCTGGATCGTATAGTAGCCCTGTTTCTTTTTTTTTTTTTTTTATTTTATTATTTATGATAGTCACAGCGAGAGAGAGAGAGAGAGGCAGAGACACAGGCAGAGGGAGAAGCAGGCTCCATGCATCGGGAGCCCGACGTGGGACTCGATCCGGGTCTCCAGGATCGCGCCCTGGGCCAAAGGCAGGCGCCAAACCGCTGCGCCACCCAGGGATCCCAGTAGCCCTGTTTCTAATCTTTTGAGGCACATCCATCTCCTTTCCATAGTGGCTGCGCCAACGTACATTTCCACCCATAATTCAAGGGTTTGCCTCTCCCCACATTTCTGCCACCTCATGTTACTTCGTACCTTTCCAGTAATGGCCCTTGTAACTGATAGGAGTGGATATCTCCTTGCATTTCAGTTTCCATTTTCTTGATAATGATGTTGAGCACATTTTCATGTATCTCTTGGTCATCTGTATGTCTTTGGAAAATGCCGTTTCGGGTCCTCTACTCATTTTTAAGTTGGATTGCTGGTTCACTTTTGAGTTATAATACCTGATTCGCAGATACTTTCTTCTGTTCAGTAGATTGCCTTTTTATTTTGTTGACTCCCTTCACTGTGAGAACCTTTTTAGTTTGTTGTAGTCAAAGCTTGTGTATTTCTGCTTTTATGGATGGCCTTTGCTTTTGGTGTCAAATCCAAAAAAAAATCATTGCCAAGACCAATGTCAGGGAAACTACCACTATTCTTCTTCTAGGAATTTTATGGTTTCATGTCTTATATTCAAGTCTTTAATCCTTTATGAGTTAATTTTTTGTCTGTGCCGAAGATAATGGTCCAATTTGATTCTTTTGCTCATGGCTAACCAGTTTTCCCAATACTATTTATTGAAGAGACTGTCCTTTCCGAACTACATTCTTGGCTCCTTTGTTGTAAATTAATTGGCCATATATTCATAAGTTTATTTGTGGGCTCCTCATTTGTTCCAGTGATCAAAGTGTTTTTAATGCCAATACCATACTGTTTTGGTTACTATTGTTTTGTAATATAGTTTGAAATCAGGGAGTGTGATGACTATAGCTCATAGTGTGTTCTTTTTCACAATTGCTTTGGCTATTTGAGTCTTCAGTGGTTCCATACGAATTTTAGGATTGTTTGATCTGTTTCTATGAAAAACACCATTGGAATTTTGATAGGGACTGCACTGAATCAAGATTGCTTTGGATAGAATGGACATTTTAACAATATTAATTCTTCAAATCCATGAGCATTGAACCATCTTTCCATTTATTTGAATCTTCAGTTTCTTTTATTAATGTCTTATAGTATCAGTGTACGTTTCATCTCCTTGGTTAAATTTATTCCTAGGTATTTTAATTCTTTTTGATGCATCATCCCCTCCTTTAAAAAAAAAAAACCTCTTTCCTCCTTTGGATTTTGTGTCACTACTTTTTTCCCCTCCTACCTATTGAGCTAACTCTCAAAGTATATCTTTGAATGTACAATCTCTTCCCATCCCTGACATGGACATGCTTCCCAAATATTAATCTTTGGGCCTTATTTCTTTGCATCTTATATACTCACATTACACTTTTATGTATGTATGTATATCTCTATCTCTACATTCATATCTCTACATACATATATCTATAATACTATTTGTAAAACATCCCCTGATTTTATTTTTAAAAATTTGTTTTCCTCCAAATTTTTATTTAAATTCTAGTTAGTTGGGCAGTCCTGGTGGCTTAGCGATTTAGCGCCAACTTCAGCCCAGGGTGTGATCCTGGAGACCTGGGATCGAGTCCCACGTCAGGCTTGCTGCATGGAGCCTGCTTCTCCCTCTGCCTGTGTCTCTGCCCCTCTCTCTCTCTCTGTCTCTAATAAATAAAGTTTTTTAAAAAAGTTAAAAAAATAAATTCTAGTTAGTTAACATACAGTAATATTGGTTTCAAGAGTAGAATTTAGTGATTCATCACTTAACATATAATAATACCCAGTGCTGGGTTGCCTGAGTGGCTCAGTTGGTCAAGCATCTGACTTCAGCTTTGGGGTCCTGGGATCGAACCCCGTGTCAGGCTCCCTGTTCAGTGAGGAGTCTGCTTGTCCCTCTGCTCCTACCCCTGCTTGTGCTCTCTCTCTCTCCCTCAAGTAAATCTTCAAACAAATAGAAACAATATCCAGTGTTCATCATAACGGGTACTTAATACCCATCACCCATTTAGCTAACCCCCCATCCCCTCCCTCCATCAACCCTCAGTTGTTCTCTATTGATAAGAATCTCTTACAGTTTCTTACCCTCTCTCTTTTCCCCCTGCTTCCCCTGTGTTCATCTGTTTTGTTTCTTAAATTCCACAAATGGGTGCAATCATGGTATTCATCTTTCTCTGACTGACTTACATTGCTTAGCATAGTACACTCTAGCTCCATCCATGTCACTGCAAATGGAAGATTTCATTCTTTTTGATAGTTGATTAATATTCCACTGTAGATAATATAATGCATCTTCTTTATCCCTTCATCAGTTGATAGACACTTGGGCCCTTTCCATAGTTTGGCTGTTGTGGATAATGCTGCTATAAGAATCAGGGTACGTGTAACCCTTCAAATCTGTTAGTTTGTTTGTTTATTTATTTATTTATTTTTATTTTGGAGAGAGTGATACAGTACAAGTGGTGTGGGGGAGACAAGAGAGGGGGAGAGAGAATCTTAAGCAGGCTCCATGCCCAGCATGGAGCCCCACACAGGATTCAGTCTCACGACTCTTGAGTTTAGGACCTGAGCTGAAACCAAGTTGGCTTAAGCAACTGAGCCACCCAGGTGTCCCTCGAATCTGTATTTGGTTATCCTTTGGGTAAATACCCAACAGTGCAATTGTTGGATTATAGGGTAGCGCTATTTTTAACTTTTTGAGGAACCTCTACACTGTTTCCCAGAGTGGCTGCACCAGCTTGCATTCCCACCAATGGTGTAAGAGGGTTTTCCTTTCTCCACATCCTCACCAAAATCTGGTAGTTTCCTGTGTTGTTAATTCTAGCTTTTT